TTTTACTGGTGAAACAGAACTCTTTCCTGTGCGGTGGCAGCTTTCCTACACAATGTCAACAGGCCCCAGTCTTCTAACAGTTGCCTGTGTGCACAGAGGGTTGTCCAAACCCTTCATCTCAAGTGAAACAGCTCCCACCCTCTTTCCACTTCAAACCTCAAGCTCTATCTACTGTAATCAGAAGGATGTGTCTAGAAACCTCAAATTTCCCTAGAACCTTTCAGGATAAGAAACAAACTTCTTGGAAGGACAGACCCGATCTTTTGTGCTCTGACTTTTAATGTGTGACTCTGGTTCTCCTGCCATTCACCTGCATAGTAATGATAATGTTGTTACTATTGAGGTTTTTCTGGTACTCAGCACTTCACACAGTGATGACTCCTTGGGCATCCTGCACACTGCACACCACTAGTTTCTAGAAGTTTCCATGCTGTTTCACAACCCCCCCCATTCCCTAACTTTCCTCTGATGTGTGACCCCTGTTTATCCCCAGACTCAGCTCACGTATCACCACCTCTTAAAGCTTTCCCCGAGTCCTTCTTTCTTCCATTTCCCTCCGTTTACAAATAAATGGCAATGTTTTAGCCCACATAACCGGAGAGCAGGAAGGACAGGAGGCCAGATGAGCTTCTGGGACAGTCAGAACAAGGGACATAAATGCTGCTAGAATGTTCTCTTATCACCTCTTTTTTTTTTTTCCTGCTTTTCTCAGTTTCAGCCACTCTTTCTCAGACCAGCCCTCATGACAAAGTTGCAGCTACTGCTTCCAGCAGCTCCCAGCCTTTGCTACCAGAGAGAGACTGCAATTTGCCCTCCTTGGTCTCATGTTTAAAAATCCCAGCAGAGAGCTCTGATTGGCTTGGCTGAGTCAGGCCCCGCCCCTGAGTTAATAATATGATCAGTAAGTGGTGAGCTGGGAGCCTTTCCAGAAAGGCCACGTCCACCTGGCACAGCCACCAAAAACGTTTGAAATAGTGGTTACTCCGTCTGCCTGGGTTCCCTAGAAACTAAGATGAGCTAAACACCCAGCCATAAGGAGTTGTCTTAAGGAGTTGTCATTGAGGTTTTGGAGCTGTTACTCATTATGACATAACTTAGTCTGACCTGAATGAATTAGGTGGGAATGGCTTTTTAAAGAAGTTTGCTACAGGTTATTAACGGCTTTCCACTTAATGCTCTTTGAGAGATTGGAGTAAATATTTAAGTTTTTTTTTAGTTGTTTTTGGTCACTGTACTAGTTTAATTTGTTCGCTAATCCCTGGACTGGCCTAGTTTTCGGGTGTATCATCCAGCTGGTTGCCAAGGAATTGGGAGAGAGAATAACCATCCTTTGTCTTCCAAATATCTTGGGATCTCCCCCAACAGAAAGGGTGTTGATGGATATTGAGCAATCCAACTGTCCACCAGATTCCCGATAACAAAGTAAACAAGGCAGAAATGCTGCTTCTCTCTCCAGATTGTATATTGTCACCATAAAAAGGAAGGCATTGTTCAATGGTGAGAGGGCAAGGAGAAAGGACTTGGCAAAGCAGAGCCCCAAACTCCCTCGGACGCACACAGAGTTCCATTCCTCTGTGAGTGAATTTGAAATACATACAAAGAAATAAGGAGGAAATCTCTGTGACCATTGGATTAGGTTAAAGGCTACTTAGATGTGACACCAAAAACACTGCCCCTAAAAGAAAACAATGACAACTTGGTCTTCATCAACTTAGTAGTCTTCTGTTCATTCAAAGACACTGGTAAGAGAATGCAAAAACAAGTCACAGACTGGGAGAAAATATTTGCAAAGCATATATAATACATGATAAAGGGCTTGAATTCAGAATATATAAAGAACTCTCAAAATTCAATAATAAGAAAATAGCTCACTCGGGCAAAAAACTTGAACGGAGAATTTACCAAGCATAAATACAAAAGGCAGATAATCACCTGAAAATATGATGAACATCATTTGTCACTAGGAATGCACGTTCAAGTCTCCATGAGGTGCGACGCCTCTTCTCAAATGGCTGTAATTATTGTACAGAGATGCGTCGTGGTTGTGGAGTACCTAGGACTCTCCCACACTGCTGGTGGCGTGTGCAATGGTGCAACCACTTTGAAAACCTTCAACCGTTACTTGAAAGATTAAATCCACACCTACCATAGGCTCTAGTTGTTCCACTTCTAAGAATGGACCCGAGTGGAATGAAAACATATGTTCATACAAGGGCTTGTACAGTGTTCCTAACCACTTTCTTTGTAATAGCTCAGAACTGGAAACAGTCCCGATGTTCATCAGCAGACGAATGGATACATTAATTGTGCCATAGCAACACCATGGAAGATGGCTGGGCAACAGAAAGCATATGATCTGATATGTCCAATAACATAGGTGACTCTCAAAATAATTAGGCCAAGTGAAAGAAGCCAGACCAAATGAAAGAGTGCACAGTGCAGGACCCATTTATATAAATTTCTAGAAAATATTAACTAATCTAAGAGACAGAAAGCAGATCAGTGGTCGCCTCTGGGCAAGGTGGGGTAGGGATAAGAGGAGATTGCAAAGACACAGGGGAAACTTTTGGGGGTGATGGAGATTTTTTTATTATCATGATGGTTTCACAGGGGCATATTTATGTCAAAAATCATTTTACTATTGAAATACGTGCAGCTTTGTTCAGTGTCAATTACACCTGAATAAAATTGAAAAAAAATAACACATACAGGGTGTATCAGTTATTGCCTGAATAAGAATTCAGAAGAAACTAGTAAACAGTCCACCAATTGGAGTTATATATTTTGGAAGATTTTAATGAGAAGAAGGTCGGCAGTGTGGGTACACATCTCTTCAATTGCCAGCCTGACCTTGAGACTTGGCCCAATTAAATCCAAAGATAAGTGTGAAGTGGGAGTCCAGACAAGCTGTAATATGGAAGCCTCCTTATTTAATACATGAAATTGAATAAGACAGCCACATGGGCTGTAACAGCCGTACCAACTGAGCTGGTTAAGGAAATCATTCAGCGGATTTGTCTCTATTACTGGTTTTTAAGAAAACAACGTTGTTTGGTTACATGTGTAAGGTAGAAATGTGGCAAGTAACCTTCAAGTGGTGCCCCCATAGGCTTAACATGCTAAGTTTCCTGAATGATAATGCTAATATTCATACACACTGTTTGTTACCATCTGAAACCCAGTTAGTAAAATGTGGCATGTGGTCTCCTGTGCAATAGATTATTGAAAGTTGTCTGGTTTCTCAGAGCTACCCCTTGGTAACATAAAAAGTTATAAAGTCTGCATTGGTAAATTTTTGTGTGAGTTTTGCTTTTCTGATACAGCTTAAGCTTTTCAAATATCATGGCCATATCGTTTTGTAAAAAGTCATTTTCTGTTGTAGAAACACACATGAACCAGGAATGAAAAGACTAAAGACGTAATCCTGGCTCTCCTACCAACTCATTCTCCTTGTCTGCAAAATGGGGATAATAGAAGTATCTCCCCGTAGTGAACCGAATGGTGGGGCCCCAAAATACTTTCTCGTGACCTAATCCCCAGAACCTATGAATGTTACTTTATTTGGAAAAAAGGTGTTTGCTGGTGTAACTAAGTGAGGGATCTTGAAACAAGCCTGGTCCCTAACTACAAAGACAGAACAGTGAAAGGAAGTTTGAGAGAAAAGAGGAAAAAAGGAAGGTGATGTAAAGATGGAAGCAAAGAATGGAGTGATGTGGTTACAAGCCAGGAAAGCCAGCAGCCACCTGAAGCTAGAAGAGGCAAGAAATGGAATTTCCCCAGAGCCTCTGGCATAAGGGGCTCTGCCAACAGCTTGATTTCAGGGCCTGGCCTCCAGAACCGTGAGAGAATACATTTCTGTTTTCCTAGCCACCAGGCTTGTGGTGATTTATTACTACAGCTGCAGGAAACCAAAAATGACCTCATGGGCCACTGAAGATGGAAATGACAGTACTACCAACACAGTAGGTTTGCTCTGAAGAGTAAGTGAATTAAGTGAGTTAATATTGGTAGAACACTTAGAAAGGTGTTTGATACCCAGTAAGCATTACTGAAGTGCTTAGTGAATTCTTACAAAAAAGAAGTGAGAGCAAGACTTCCAGTCAAGAGGGCAGTATAGGCAAACACAGCTTGAGTCCTCACACAACCGCAACAAAATTACAACTAAAATATGGAACAGCCATCACTCAGAACCATCAGAAATCAAGTTGAATGGAAGTCTGACAGCAACTATGGAATTAAAGAGAACATATTCATCTAGACTAGCAGGAGGGGCAGAGACGGGGAACAGGCTGGTCCCACATCCTGGTGTGTGTGGTGGATAAAAATTCAGGAGGGACATCTTGGGAGCAAGGAGTCCCAACCCCACACCTGGCCTCCCAGACCAGGGTTCCAGTGCCAGTAGGATAAGCCCCCACAAACTTCTGGCTGCAAAAATCAACAGGAATTGAAATATAATTTTTTAAAAAGAAGTGAGGGCAATGCTACTGGTTGATGATGACATTGCCTTTCTGGTGCATCGCTGGGGGCTGGACACCATAATATCGGAGCCTCCTATTAGATCAGGGACTGAAAAAGATAATCATGATGATGGTGAAAAGGGCAAAAGTGGATTCCACAGATGTTCTTTTGCGCCCAAATGTTCTATAAAAGGAACACTTCGATTACCCGTATTTGAGTCCTTGCTTCTCTGTTGGTTGTCTCTACAACCCCTTAATCCCTAAACGCAGTGTAGAATGGACCGCAGGGACCACTGGAGAAAATCACTTTTATTGCCTCCACTGGGAGCCTAAAACTCCGCGGGGACTCCAGAATGCAGAATTCCCGAGCCTAATCTCGCACCCACGTCCCACCTGCAGAAAACTACGGTTCCCAAAAGGCTTTGGTTCCCGCGGGGCGGACTTTGGAAAGGGGCGGAGTCTGAAAGGTCGTTGGCCGATTCCACCGTCCAAAGCGGGAGGGAGTGCCTGGCTGGGGAGTTTGGGAGGGAACCGCCTTCTGATTGGTCGTAAATACAAAGGTTGGCGTCCTCCGCGTGTTGGTACAGTCGGAAGAAGATCCTGGCCTTCGCGGACCAGCGGTCAAATTTCCCGGGCGGGAGCGCGGGGCCTACCGGGAAAGCACTGGACAGTTGTCACCTGGCTGGTGGCTGCCGTAGTGGGCATCGAGATGCAAAGCACAGACCTGGGCAATAAGGAAAGCGGCAAGATATGGCACCGCAAACCATCCCCGGCCACTCGGGAAGGGTAAAGGCCGTGGCAGGAGGGCGCGGGCTGTGCAAGGGGGTGGACACGGCAGGCGAGCAGCGCGTCTGCGTCTTTGGAGAGGCTTTCCAGGGGCTGTTGGAGAGGATCGCTGGAAGGGATGCGGGGCGTCGGGTAGAGGTTCGGGTTCTGGCCCTAATCTGCTCGTGATCCCTGGCTTGCGTGACTTCAGGAAATACGGGCAGCCTGATCCTTGGAGACCCTTCACTGCCCAGGAGCAGGGGTTTGACCAGGATTAGCATGGAGCATGACACAGGTGGTCCTCAGAAACATGTAGGAGAATTTATGCTCCTAGTGAGTGCCAGAGCTCTGCCTGCCTTAACCATCATGGCATCCCTACAGCATTCCTGGCACATAGTAGGTGCTCGGTAAATATTGTTTAGCTGTTGCAGCTGAAAAAGACCGCGAGAGGAAAGAACAGTGAGTGCACTTCCACCCCTTCCAAATGTCGCAGTTAATCCATCCTTCAGTCCTTGTCTGCATTCAGGCCGGCAAGCATTGGTCAACTATTTGTTGACCATCTACAACGTGCTAAGCTACTAAGCGCCGGGAGACAGTAATGGAATTAAACAAACTTCCAGTTCTTGAAAGTTTACATTTCAGCTTGTTTAGGGGTAGTGGTGCAGGATCTATGTCCTGCAATGCAGGACAACCTAGTAAGGCCAGCACTGCTGCTGCTGCTGCTTTTTTTAATAGACTTTTTTTTAAAAGGACAATTTAGGATCATGGCCAATTCGTATGGGGAATTTACACAGATTTCCCATATACCTCCTGTACCCGCAAATGCATAGCCTCACCAATATCAATATCCCCCTCCAGAGTGGAACATTTGTTGCAGCGGATGAACCCTACATTGACATGTCGTGTGCTCGCTTCGGCAGCACATATACTAAAATTGGAACGATACAGAGAAGATTAGCATGGTCCCTGCGCAAGGATGACATGTTGTGATCATCCAAAGTCCACGGTTTACATGAGGATTGACTCTGGGTGTTGTATACATTCTGTGGGTTTGAACAAATTATAATGACATGAATCCACCGTGGTGATACCATACAAAATATTTCCACCGCCCCCCAAATCCTCTGTGCCCTGCCCATTTGTCCCTCCCTCCCCAGCCCTCCTTTCCCTTCCGTTCCCTGGATATCAGCCTCTCCCGTGTGATTTTAATGGAAGCTGTTGCACCAGAGCGATGCCATCTGGGTTCCAGTTGCTGCACACAGGTTGACTTTACTGCTTCTAACTCCCTAGGGTTTCCTGGACTTGGCTTCGTCACTTGAGTTCGTGTTTCAGTGTGTTTCTTGTTCTTGTAATTCTTCTGTTGATTCTTTGGTTGCTCTTCTACAAATCATCAGATTCTTTTTTAAGATCTTATTTATTTAATTTTTTAGAGAGAGGGGAAGGGAGGGAAAGAGGGAAACAATGATGTGATGTGTGAAAGAAACATCCATTTGCATGCCCGCAGCCTGGAACCTAGGCATGTGCCCTGAGGGGAATGGAATGCATGACCTTTAGGTTCACAGGCCAATCGATCGATGCTCAGTCCACTGAGCCACAGCAGCCAGGCCAAATCAGCAGACTTCAAGTGTCAAGTCTACCTGTCCAGACATGATGTTAGTCCACATGCCGGCAGCTTGCGTGGTTTCTGGTGCCCTCAGCCCTGTCTGTGCCACTGACCCTTCAACTCCACAGAAAACATTTTTTGTTCAGAGTTGGGATTCTTTAGTAGGGCGTTTTCACATTTGGAGTTTATGTAAATACCACTCTTACTTCTGATGCGTAAATATTCTAAATGTTATTGCCAACCCAAAATAATTCTCTCTTTTGCTGTAATAAAACACCTAGATATGCATGCAAGATTCCAGAAATGAAAGAAACAAGTCCATGTGGGCGTGTCCTTATTTGCTTCTTCCCGCTTTCCTTTTGTTTGTTACAGAGCGAGGAGCGCTGACTGTGGAGTCAGAGGGACTTCAGTTAAAGTAATGTCCACTCACTAGCTCTGTGACCAAGTTAATCCCTAAGACTGTAAGCGAAGATGATCACACCTGTCAAAGTTGTCATAGGGTATTGTGAAGACTCTAAGAGAGTCTCATGCATTCTCACGTTGAGTAAATATTTGATGTTTTTAGTCTATGTAAGGACTCAGGAACCCTTGTCAGGCATCCTGTGAGCAATTGAGGCAGTTTTTGTAAAATAAATATTAGTATAGTGATTGATATGAAAAATCAGAAGGGCAGAATGTTGCTATTAATTGTGATAATCTAGATGGTAGGGTTGTAATCAATTTCATTTATATATTAGTGTTTTCCTGTAATTTCCTTATTTCCAACAATGATCATGTAATTTTATAATCCAAATACGTAAAAAAATTATACAAGAAAAGACTGGAGGGAAAAGTCATTTGCTCTGAGTTTATTTGCCAGAGAACATTTTGATGTTATTGTCATTTCAATACATTTATCCGTTCCCTCTCTGAGGATATCAGAAAAAAACAGAGCTGGATAGTTAAGTGGTCAAAAATAGATTTTATGCAAGACTATTGATTGCCATGCTGGACAAGACCTCAGTGTAGAACTGGACTTAATTCTGAATCCAGCCTGGGCAGGTGGGAATTTATGGACAAGGGGATGGAAAATTAACAAGAGAAAGCCTCGGGGTGAGGGGTTCTGGCTAAACTGACCCCACAGGATTCTTGCTGAAGACAGTCCAGGTGATAAAAGTCACCTGGGGGCAGAGAGTGGGGAGGGAGATCACACATCAGGGTGATCAGGTACAGAAGGCAGGGCGTTCTCACTAACCTGACTGAGCAGGATTCCTGCTGAAACTAGACTTTACAAAGACGTGCACGCACAGGGCTAAGGAGAAGGTTCAGGGGTCTGATCGAAGTAGGGCAGACCAAGGCTCTCGGTCCGGGACTAGAGAAAAGTGAGCACTGTGAGAATTTTGCCGTTGCAACCGGTGAGCCTGAACAGTCCCGTTTAGATAGACTACACAAAACATTTGACACACTTAATTCAGTTTTTCTAGTATTTTTAGTGTAAGAATACTTAATTTAGTATTTTTAATGAAGTGATCATGTAGAAAGCAGATGTTTCTAATATTAAAATTCAAAAATTCTTAAAAAGTCAACTAAGATAAAAATTATCATTATTTGAAAACTATTGTTGCAATAAAGAATAGGTTATTCTGGTTAAAGACCCAGTATACACACATATCTTATTTTAAGGAGTTAGTTATTTTATGCTGTAAGTTTTATAACAGCTTTCTTTTCAGTAGAGCTGTTATACATGATGTTCCTCAAAAAAAGTAACTTTAGGCAAATATAGCTGCAAATAGAACTCAAGGGCACCTTCACTTTGAAACAAACTCTCATTAGGACACCTTAACATTGGAATACCGAATGAAAATTTTCTTTACATATGGTGGCTTGTGATTTATATAAAACTCAGTACTCTTCACTAATCACATCATTGTTTTCAGCGTGTGTCTTTTGCGTAATGCAACAATTGAAGTCAAAAATGAATTCTCTTATATCCTATTGTGGTCTGTGACTTCGTCGCAATTCATAAATATGTTCCTGTGTGTGTCTGTTTCATAACTGCGTCTGTACCAGTGAACTGTAGGTCCCACGAGGGCAGGACCCATGTCTGTCGATTCCCCAAGGTTCCTGGCTTGTTCAGTATCTGACATACAGTGACCTGTCAGGGATTTGAAGAAGTGAACAGCTACTTGGGTAATGAATACCTTTCTGGACTGTTTTCAGACATCGTTGTAGGATTTCCGAAGAGCAGCAATAGGAGAGAAAGATGGGCAGGCAAAAAACTTCAAGATTAGGGAAGCCATGTATTTCATAACAAGTGATGCCTGACATTGAATTGAATGTGCATTTGTTTGTTTGTTTGTTTTACAGAATTATAGTGAATATCATTCACACCACTTCTGATTACCTTCCCAAAGTTTTGCGATTTTTGAATGTGGCTTTTGATAGCTCAGGTGATTGCTTAATCGCTGGGGACCATCAAGGAAATATCTATGTTTTCGACTTGTCCGGAAATAGGTGGGTGATACTTTGGATATTTCCCTTATTTAATGTTACTAATTCACTGACTTTTAGTATCTGCTACTATTTACTCATTCAGAAAGATTTATTAAATTCTTACTAAAGTTCAGGCACCTTGTAAAACACTGTCATAAATGCTGATGGAAGGAAAAGTAGGAAAAGATAGAAAGATAATACAGTTAGATTTTTTTTAGAGAATTAAATTTCTGGTTTTAACAGTATCTCTTGTGGTTTGTTTTCCTTAAATTAAAAAATTTATTATTGCTAATTTGTCATTTACTGCCTGGTCCTTCATTAGGCAACTTCAAAAGAGCGCAGTGTCTTCGTATGTTGTTGTCAGAATACTCGATCTAAGATGAATCTCAAAGAACTGGTCCTTACTCTTCCTCTTCTTCCCCTTTTCTTCCTCTGCTGAACAACTTAGTACAAAAGCAGTGAGGTGAGACATCACTGGAGGCATCCATGAAGGGGGATGGGTGGGAGGAGGCCTGCGTCCCCCGCGCGCCCCCCCCCCCCCGCACCTGAGAGTCAGAAGGCATCTGCATGGGGGGTTGGGGCAACTGTGGGAAAGACGGGGCCCTGGGCCAAATGAGTAAATATACTGAGGATCCTGGGGACCGCGCTTCTAACTGTGGGAAGGGGAGTCACAGATATGGAAAGTGAAGAAACTAGAATGAGCCTGCGGGACTAGACTGCAACTGGATGTAGCTGAGCAAACTCTGGTTTTGTATATAAGTAGACAGACATAGAAGTACATGTAGGTGTGTGTAGGAGCAAGTGAGTGAGTCACGGAAACATGTATTTCCCAGCTTTGTCCACTCACAGGACCTGGGAGCAAGCGCCCTCTCTCCCTCTTAGCCACACACATACTCAGTGCCCGGGTCTTCTTTACCAAGCACCACTCTGTGCTGAAAGCAGTCGGGGGTTCTTGCAGAAACGGCCACTTCCAGGATGGGGGCAGGGAAAGTACAGGTTGAGCCTGGGACATTTTTGTCACCAGCCAGGGAATTGTACAGAAAATAGTGGGGATGCTTCACAAGGACATAAATGTCAGCTTGAAGAAGCTCCCCCCGGCCAGACTGTAGACAACGTGAGTACCAAAATAAATAATGGTAGTAATGACGCGTAGCCCACCGCATGGAATGGAAATGCCGACATCTGTGCTGCAGTCAACAAACAGTTTAATGAGAACGATAGTTACATGGTCAGAAAGTACCTCCCTCAAAATATTTATTAATTGCAGAGGAGAAAAGGTAATTTTACTGTGGAGAAGCCTGGCAAACACCACCTTATCGCATGATTAAAGTTAAATTATCCGGTAGTGGGACAGCTCAAAACCGTGCCACCTGAGAGGATGCAGGAAAAAGCCAACAGTGTCACCTCTGTGACACTCCTGCCCAGGACAAGGAACCTGAATCTAATCGGTCAAATCAGCAGACAGAGGTCAACTAAGGGCTTTGTGTTTGAATAAGACTGGCCTGTAATCTTCACAGGGTCAAGGTCATAAAACTTGTGGAAAGACTGAAGATCTGTTTGGGACTGACGGAGACTAGCCCCATGTCCAGGAAAGCCATGATGAACCTCAGCTGACCCTTGCTCTGTAAAGGACACTATTGAGACAGTAGGGTCTGAGGGTTAGTTGGCGGTGATGTGAAACATAATTTTCTGATTCCAATGGTTGTATTGTAGACTCTGCAGGAGAATGTCCTTGTTTGTAGGGAACGTGATCTCAGTAACATTCCCAAAAAGCTCAGGAAGAGTTCTTGTGTAACTTATTTATCTGTAGTTTACCAGGTAGAAATCTGTTAGTCATGTTTCTGCTCTTTACCAAAAACGTGATGGTCACAATTCTCCCACCCTTTACCCTTGCCTAACCTATCCTGCCAATTCCCGGTCTTGAATCAATACAACGGCCTCCCCTGTGCTCCCACTGCTAAGTGCAATAATAACTGTTGATAGACTGCAGCCATGAACTTCATCGTCAGTGGTGCTTGGCGCTGCATTTGCCTCGCTGTTATTTACCCCTCCCATCGTCCTCTGAGGGTGTCTAACCTTTATCAGTTTCCTACCCTTATTCTCACTGCCACCTTCAAGCTTCCCTTCCTTCTCCCCAGCCGCAACCTCAAATATATCTGTAAGTTCACCATCCGTACCTCTGTGTCACTTTATGCATAACAATGGGTGATCCTAATTTCTTCCAGTGCCAATCTGTCTTCTGTCGCCACCCCTGGGATATGAGGTCCTCTCTTTTGTTTTGTCCACTGTCCCTTTTCTCTCTATAAATATTTACAGCTGAGTGAGGAATAAGTGGCGGAGATGAGACTTTGTAATCAGGCCCGTGTGATTCTAAAATCACTACACTGGGTTTCCTCAAAGTCTTCCTGAGTTCCCCTGGTATTAAATACAAACGCCTCCTCTCCGTCCTGAAGTTTTCTTCTTATGCTTCCGGATACAGTGTTTTCTTGATTTTTCTTCCTCTCTGTTTATTTTTTCCCTTGCTTCGCTGACACTTCTTCCAGTGTCTGCCTCTTTGTTGTCGCAATACTTTGGGGTCTGCCCTTGGCCACCTTCCTTCCGTGTCTCAGGTATTCTCTTTGATGAGCCTGTCACCACCAAGCCTCAGGCATCATTCAGCTGCACGTGCACACTGTTGACGCAGATCTTCTCCTACGGCCACTGCATGGCTTCTGGGTTGCTGTCCAGGGTGGTGGCCACGGCTGCCTGGAGCTCTGAGCCCTGGAAAGGCGGCTGGTCCAATACAGATGTGCTGGGAGTGTCGAGTACAGCCTGGGTTTTTAAGATGTAGTCTGGAAAAAAATGTAAAATATCTCATGAATATTCCAATTAAATGTTGAAATATTTCAATGTATTGAATTAAGTAAACTATATTGTTAAGATTCATTTGGCCTGTTTCTTTTTACTTTTTCAACATGGCTCCTAGGAAATTTTAAATTACAATACGGCCCACACCCTATTTCTTTGGGACGATATAGCTCTAGGTGTTTTGCAAGGGCCTTAAATTCAACATGTTTAAAATCAGACTTTCTTTTTCCCATCCCCAAACTTGTTCATCTTTTGCCCAAGCCTAAATGTTTATTTTTTGTAAATTAAACTCTAGTTATGTGCCAAGAACTCTGCTGAGCACTTAATATATATTATTTCCTTTAGTCATTGCATAGTATTAGTCACCACAAGAGTCCGATGAGACCTGCCTTCTTCCCTTGACGTGGAGAATTCCTGCTGGCTGCCGCTTCGCCCCTGTGAGATGGGTCTCAGCCTCTCTCCACTTGGCTTCTGGCGCCTCTCCTGTTCGTCCTCTTCATTCTATGCTCGTAGCTCTGGTTGAGATTCACTGGGAGCTTTCTTAGTGACCTCCTCTTCCTCGTCCCTCTCTCCATGTGCCATTGCTGCTGGGTCATCTTCCGAAAGACACGCCCAGTCATAGTTCTGCTGGCTGCCCGTTCTGTGCAAGTAAAATCCAAGCTCCTTTACGTGGCATTTAGCACTGTTTATCATCCATTTCTAGTCTGCCAGGATGGGAACTCATTCTCCGGCTTTCATTTTCTCCATCTCTAAGGACTCCTCCCACCTAAAATTTATGGTTATTGGAAGAATTTCTGATACTAATGCAATCATCTCTTAATAGGTTCAATCTTGTTCAGCGAACAGCACAAGCCTGCACAGCGCTGGCCTTTAATCTTCACAGGAAGTCTGAATTCCTTGTGGCGTTAGCTGATTATTCTATTAAATGTTTCGATACAGGTAAGAAGTCCTCTTAGTTGTCTTTTCAAGCAGAGTAGAATAGAGACTGAAGTGCGGCCAACAGTGTGACAGTCTGTACTGGCTGCGGGAGCGGTCCCCAAAAGACAGCACTCGGGGGCCCGACATGAGCCACAAGCTCAGGGGCCCCGCGGCCATCCTCCCGTGGGGCCAGCTGGCTGCATGTTCAAGGTTCCCCACAGCCAACCTCTAGTTTGATAATTCACTAGGATGACCCGCAGAACTCGGAAAAGCACTATGCTTGTGGTTTTAGTTTTAATGTAGCAAAAGGATAGAAATTAGAACCAAAGGAAGAGACATAGAGTAGACTCTCAGAAGGTTCCATTGTCCTCGAGGATGCATTACCCTCTCAGCATCGGTGTGTGGCCATCCTCACTGCGCATTGCCAAACCACGAAATCCACCTAAGCTTGACGTCCAGAGTTTTCATCGGGGCTTCGTGGTGTCGGCATGATTGATTGCCTTATTGCCCACCTGCTTGAACACAGCTTCCTCCATCCTTGCCTCCTCTCTGTGGAGGTCAGGCTGATGTCAGTGACCCAAAGCCCCAGCTTTCCAATCACTCACGCAGTCCATCTCTCTGGCACGGCCAGCCCCCACCCCGAGGAGCTCTCCTTGGTGTAAACCCGGTGCTGCTGCCTGAGGGACCTGCCCCGAGTAACAGGGACACTGCTACCACTGGGGAGACCCCGGGGCTTGAGAGGTTACCTCCCAAGAGCCTGGACAAAGACCATACATCTCTGAAGGCCAAGAATAATACTCTTGATGTATAACCTATTGTATTTTATATCATATATTTTTTATAGAGTGTAGAGTTCTATTAATTGAACCTGTTAATAAGAAAAAAGGTCTATCAACTCTATTTTTTTCTTGTTACTAAAGTAACCTATCAACTATATTTTTCTTGTTATTAATCGATGTGTTACAATATTTAGAAAAATGTATGTAAACTATAACAGTAGTATGTTCATTTTAACCATCATAATAACCTGTGGATATGGGTACTTAATATCCCCATATTTCAGATGAGGAAACTGAAGCAGAGAGGTAACTTGACCCAGGTGCCATGGTGTCTAAGCAGAGGGACCAGGGACCTAATCTGGTGGCCCAGCTGCCGCGTCCCTGCTCTGAGTCACCGCTGTACGTGCCTGAGGGAAAGTGGTCGTGCTTTGGCCAGTGTCTCTGTGACAGAGACCCCTCTTTCCAGCCTGTGTTCATGCAGAACCCTCTTCACCTTCTAACAAACAGCCTCACCATCTATACTGTTCTGTGCAATCATTTTCTTACCTCAGAAATTCATTCAGTATACTCCACATCACTGCCAAATATTCTAATCTGTGGACGTTTGCCCTCCCAGAATTATTAACCTGGTACCTATTGATGGACGTCAAACTGCTCCCAGTTTTTGGGGTGACAAGCACTGCTGTCACAGAAATTCTGAAAAGCTGAGTCTCTGTGCTCATCTGTGACTGCTTTCCCCAGGTTCCACTCTGTTCTTCTCTCTTAGTGCCATCGTTTTATAGTCTCTTCTTACTGATAGAAGCCCCTGAGGCACTGCCTCTACCTCCCCAAATACCCACCCCCCCACCCGTCTTCACTGCCGAATCCTGCATCTTCGCAGCTTCCATCAGTGGATTCTGACTCTCGCCCCCCGCTCTCCATGCTACTGAGACTTCTGTCTCCAGGGTCTTGAGTAACTTTGATGGCTCAAGTCCTCCGTATACTTTCCTTCTGTTTTTCAGTAGCATCCAACACTGTGGACGAGCTTAACCGCCGTAGTTCCCCTCCTGCCTTTCTCACAGCCTCCATTGTGGTCTCTCTCCTGCCTCTTTTAGTGCTTCCCAGGCTTTCGGGGTTCTGACCCCATTAGAAAGAAGAAATAGAAGATCCCGCATAGGTTGTCAACTTTTATTTTTCTAATGGACACTGGAAAAAACATAACGTCATAAAACAAGGGATTTTTTTAATGTAAATTTAGAAGGATATAATGCTAGATTATAAAGTAGTACTTTAAATGTAGCTTTATAAAAAACTAGTTATTCTTATTTTTCTCATTTGACTGAAGAGCAGTGGAAAAATTCACCGTTAACTAGTGCCAGACTTTTTAGACTGGTGTTTGGAAACCACAGCCTTCTCCCTAAGGGTTTATCTGCTCCGCTGTCTTAGTTTGACCTACTTTGTATCCTAATGTTTCCCAGATTTACATCTAGCTTTCTGTTTTCCTCAGTTCCGTCTTTCTAGAGGAAAAAACAAATCTGATTAAAATATGCCTACCATAGAAAACTTGGGAACGCAGAAAATGAAAAGAGAAAATAAAGATCACTTACGATTTTATTACGATTTTATTACCCAGTGATATTATCATAAATAGTTTGGGGTATTTTTTCTAATCATGGGTGTTCTCTGCTGGTATGTCACACACACATGCGTGCACATGTGTGTACCTCCGAATCAATTTAAAAGTCCAGTGCATTATCCCATTCTTCCCACACTGCTAAAAGTGGTCCTCCCTGTGTATTTCTCATGTTAATTAATGGTATTAACATTAATTAATGTTGATCTCCTCTGTGATCAACAGTGTCTCCTCACAGCCGTTTGGTCACCAAGTCCTTTGATTTTTCTCCTTTTTATGTCTTGAGTTTGTTCTTTCTGAATTGCCACATCTTAGTTTAGACCTTCCTTCCCTCCTTCCCCGGTCATTGCAGCAATGAATGAATCAGTCACCTGTCTGACCTCTTCCTGCTCTCCAGTAGATCCACACTGTACCTCAAAATGCGCTTCCTAAAACACCGGCCCGGTGGGTGCTCTCCATCTGAGAGTGTCCCTCACGAGACAAAGCCCAGGGTCCCAGGCACACACTGAAGGCTGCCCTTAGACCCTGGTTCGGCCTCATCTCCTCACAGCTCCGTGATCCACACACGTGGTACCAACGTGTCCCATAGTGCATTTCATTAACTAGACACAGGCTTCCATCACTGTAGATGTTGACGGGGTGCCTCATAATTCCTGGCCATCAGCTGAACTAGTTCTCGGATGATACATAGGGTTGTGCCCGTGTGACCGTTTTACTTTTTACCCAGTCACCAAGGAGCTGGTTAGCTGGATGAGAGGACACGAGTCGGCAGTGTCTTCGATCTCCGTGCACGCCTCGGGGAGGTACGCCATCACCACTTCGTCTGACACGGCACAGCTCTGGGACTTGGACACCTTTCAGAGGAAGAGAAAGCTGAATATCCTCCAGTCTGTGGGCATACAGAAGGTCAGTGGGGCCGGGGGACGTCTTGGCCTATTGGGCCTCTCAGGCCAGTTTCTTGGCCAGCAGGATTTGTAGATGATTTAAGGGTGGTGACGCTCTTTGTCCCACATACCAGTGTGCTTGTCGCTCAGCAACAAGCAGAGCAACGCGGCCTAGAGAACGGAAGCTGTTGCCCGTGGCTACGGCTTGTAACTCACCGAGCTTCTTACTTTTTTAACTATTATTGTAGCATGTAACTTCAGCTTCAGCAAGTTTGGTAGTTTTTATTTAACTGATTGGTTTTGTTTGAGTTTTTAACTGTTCCCCACATTTTGTTTTGAAAAATGGCAAATGCACAACCGAGGGGTAAGGCTGTCACAGGGAGCACACGGACACCGCCACCTAGATTCTGTCGCTGACGTCTTCCTGTGCTAGACTCGCCCTTGTGTGCTGTGCCTGTGTTCACTAGCTCGTCTTGTGTTTCATTTTCGAGTAAATTGCAGGTGTCCGTATACTTGCCTGTGAATATCTACCCTTCCATTGACTGGGGTGCAGTATGTTTTGATGTCTTGTATGTATACACACACATACATACATGCACGCACACATGGTGAAATGCACAAAGTTACACATTCGTTTGCTACGTTTCGACAACCACATACGCCGTTGGAACCTGTGCAGACCTGCCATTACCATCTGCCCAGAAGGCTCCGGTGGACCCCTCCCCTCCCAGGGAAGCGCTTCCAGCCGGGATTAGTTCTGCCTCTTCTGAACTCCACACAGTCGTGAAGGGCGTGTATAAAGCTTTTTCATTCAGCTTAATGTTTTTGAGATTTATTCATTTTGTGGTGTGTATTAGTAGTTTGTTCTTCTTTATTGCTGAACAGTATTCTATTTTATACATCCATCACTTTTTTTAAAATTCCATTCCTTTTGCTTTTAAGGTTTCATTCTTTTCTATTTGATTAGCTAAATACTGTTCTCAGGATTGTCTCAGTTCCCATGTGGTTAATTATTTTGCTTCAGGTTCTGTTATACATGTAGTATTTCTTTTAATTTCTTGGTTATTAACATGAGTAGCTAGCACTGCCTGTCAGCCCAAAATTTATTTTGTCGTCTCCATGGAAATCCCAGGGTTCTTTAGTTTTCCTCTGATCATTAAAAAAAAGACCAAAGTTGTAGCCAACATATTCATCGGGGATCTAAGCCAAATGTCGTAGTAGGTTGTTTCTTTAATTGCTCTAGGACTTGAATTGAATTTTAAGTTCTAAAGAAGAGAGCATCGGGAGTTGAACCCACAATGGAAACAGTTACGAAACACTGACACAAAACCGTTTGTTCTTTTTGCCCTGAAATTAAAATTAGTGTACGCCGGAGAGATGCCAATTCTAACCTTGCTCTGACCGTGAAGACGTTTTAGTTTAAAAAACGGGACTCAGATGTTAGTGATAAGACAATGGAATCACATGAAGACATGCACAGGCAGCCTGCAGTAGCGCACAAGTAGATTGTTCTAACTTACAGCAGCCGAGCCCTGGCAGGTGCGCTTCGGTTGGTTTGGTGTCAACCCACAAAGCAAACAGTCACCGGCGCAATCCCCAGTCAGGGCACATGCCTAGGTTGTGGGTTCAATCCCCACCTGGGGCATAAAAGATGTTTTTCTCCCTCTTGACTCCCAGTCAGGACACATGCCTGGGCTGCGGGCCAGGTCCCCAGTCGGGGGTTTGTGAGTCTCTGCTGCATCCGGGTTCCTCTCCCTTTTTCCCTCGGTTCCCCTCTTTCTAAAATGAATAAATAAAATCTTTCAAAGAAACTGGATTTGGAAAGCGTAGAATTTTCATATTTTATAAGAAAAGACAACACTCTCCCCCTTATGTTTTTGTTAGTGCTTTTAAAGTTTTTTTCTAAGCTTTTTATGTTTGTCAAGAGATGACACTATCTAAATAGTGGCGTGATTCATTAGGAACAATTTTATAATCATAGAAATCTGGCAATTAAAATCACGGATCCAGTCATGAATAATCAGGTAGGCAGTCATCTGTCACGGCTACTCCCCTGAAATAGCAGTCGGCGCTCATCAGCTGTTATGCTTTTGCTTCCCCCAGTAGGAATAAACTTCATTACTTTTCCAGAAAAACACTGCCCGTTATAATAAAAATCGTAAGTCACTTTTTTTGACACTGGTTTTGGAACCATGTTTTAATGCATTTATTATTGATCATAACATAGTCCTTGCAAATTCCTTCTGTGTGACCTTCATATTGTAAATGCCTTCCAGAATCTTCCGGAAAGGATCTACCAGAGGTTGTCTCTGACAAAGTGAGCCAAGGACGAAAGCGAGGAGCTGGGTGGGGCCAGGGCAGTAGTTGAGAGAGCATTTTTAGTGTATCTTATTAACTCTTATCCTGAGTAGACCTTTTAAATGTAACCAGCATGTGCCATGATGCATTATATATTGTGTGTATTATGGGGGATTTTTTTTAGCCGTTTATTATTGAAAAAAGAGACATTATGATGTGTGTGTGTGAGAAAAACAAACTTTGTGATAACAACCCGCAACTTTTGTTAAAATTGTGCCTTACAGTCCCCTGAAACTTTTGTAGTCCTCTCGTTAACTATTAGAATCACTTCTTAACTGTACGTGTGTAATAGGCTGGGTGATGTAACACAAGTTGAAGTCGAGGTTGCAGAGGGGTTTCGTGGAAGTTCCTCATGGACCCACTATTTTTGCAGTAGTGGGAAAAGACCATGGAGTTGACCTCCCTGGTCAGAGTCATTCTGGCTGCTGTCTCGTTACAGTGGTACTGTCCGTATTGGCTTCTGCATAGTTAAGAGACACTCCAGTCCAGGGTTAAAAGACACTGAACACTTCATCCCCAAAGAATGTATCGTTCCACGAGAAAACAGGTTTCCTTCTGACACTAGTAATAGCATGAGGGGACCTGACAAACCAGGGACTGGAGCGAGAGGCCGCAGATTCCTCAAGTGTTCTGCCTTCTCCTCATGGAGGCCCAGTCCTCTCCAACACAGACACAAGCATACACTTAAAAAATAATAATAAAGTTTGTAAAGACACATCAGTAGAGACAATGACAAAATATGTTCAAATATAAAGTGGTACAATAAATAACCTAGTTAAGGAGGCGCTTCTAGATGGGAATCAAAAATAAATAGCTAGAGATGTAACTGAGGATTGACCGTGTGAAATGTCTCAAGCTATTTGAGGGGATTTGTGTTGAGAAACTGGGCCGTGGTATTTTTGTCCTTCGGGTACTGGTTTCTTTCATTTCTTTCCTGCTCTTCCTTCCTTCCCTCCTTCCTTCCTTCCTTCCTTCCTTCCTTCCTTCCTTCCTTCCTTCCTTCCTTCCTTCCTTCCTTCCCTCCCTCCCTCCCTCCCTCCCTCCCTCCCTTTGTGTGTTTTACGCAAATGACACACAATTATATTTGAGGCCATTGAAACTTGTGGCAAAATGTTGGTCAGTTTAATTAAAATTTAATATTATAGAAAGTAAGCATTATGCCCTGGCTGGGGTGGCTCAGTGGACTGAGCACCAGCCTGCAAACCTAAGGGTCACTAGTTCGATTCCCAGTCTGGGCACATGCCTGGGTTGCAGGCCAGGTCCCTGGTGGGGGTGCGTGTGACAGGCAACCACACGTTGGTGTTTGTCTTTCTCTCTTCTTTTCTCCCTAATTTGCTCTCTAAAAATAAATAAATAAAATCTTTTTTTTTAAGTAAGCATTATGTAGTGCTTATATAATTAAAAAAACAGAAATGAGAGTAAAATATTTTCAATTTTGCTGTCAATTTCAGTTTCACTTGTCATCCAGTCAATTGAATCTCTAAGAAAATATGATCATGCATTTCTTTCCAACTTTCAACTTTTTACATATGTATTAGTGCTCAGCAAACATTTATATACATTTATCTTAAACACTTTGCTGATTTTTTTTTCCTAAAGGATTGACTCTTACAAGCAGATTGACCGGTTCAGAATAGATAATATTTTGCAGGCGGTTGAAGTATGTTCTCCAGTCTGTGTAACCAGTGTTCACTACCAGACGCAGTGCGTGGCAGTGCCCTTTTCCTGTGCTCACGCCTCTGTTTCACAGTGTCGGTGGTTAGTGCTTCATGTAGTGTTCGTATTAGTGCATAGTTTATAAGTGTCGTACACATGCGAGTCTGTGTATAGTTACGTATACATATAGGTGTGTGTTAGGTTGAAGTAAATTTGATCCACATAAAATGGCATCATTTTTATATGAATCTTTTATAAGGTTAAATATTTTTAAGTTGTTATTTAGTATTTTAGGAATTGCCTAGTCATTACAGTCACGTATTTTTTTATTTACAGGATTTTACCTTTTCTTTTTAGTCTTATAGTAATGTGTGAAATATCAGTATTATCCCCTTTCAAATATTGTGGGTGTATTCTTCTCTAATTTAAGAAAGATAATTTTTAAAAAGAAAAATTGGCTACTTGTATAATTTTTAATTTAAAGAGGGCTCTATGATCCTTATATGGACAATAACTTTTTTTTCCTCGCTCTTTAGGTTTTCTTTCTGCCGTTAAGCAATACCATCCTCAGCTGTTTTAGAGATAATTCCATCTTTGCCTGGGAGTGTGATACTCTTTGTTGCAAATACCAGTTGCCAGCTCAGCCTGAAAGCTCTAGTATATCATACAAAGTGTTTGCTGTGACCAGGTAACGTTCATTGCCAGACACTGAGAATGTTTAAGAAATTTAACTTCCAGCAAAATGTTACAAATGTCCATTCAGTATCTTATTGTCAAATGAGGAGAACTTTCTTTCAAACTAGATGTGGTCTGTAGAACTGGTTATTATACTTCGTTGTGGAAAACTTCAACTACACGCAGAAATGTAAAAGCGCGTGACGTCCTACTCACATGCTCTAGTCACCATCGTCCAACAGGCACTTCTGTTCTGCCTTCACTCCTCACTGTCTTAAAGCGAAGCCCACGCGTGTCATTGTATCCGTAAATATTTCAGTGTGTGCTTTTAAAGGATAAGGACACTCTGGAAACATAACCATATTGCTATTATCACATTTTTTAAAAATAGTAATTTTCTGATATTGAAGAAGATCCCGCTGGTATTGATATGACATTGTCATATATGAAGTCATTATTCAAGTTTCCCTGATTTGTCTAATCATTGTTTTGGGGGGTTTTTGTGGCTGGTTTGTTCAAATCAGAAATGAAAGTAGGTTCACACATTGTCTTGGTTGATGTAGCCCCCTTTTCATTTCTTCTTGGAAGTTTATTTGTTAAAGAACTGGTTGTTTGTCCTGTAGAATTTTCTTTTCCTTTCCTTTTCCCTTTCCCTTCCATTTTATTCCTTAGAAAGAAGGAAAGAGGGGAGAAAGAAAGGGAGAGAAACATCGATCATTTGCCTCTTGCATACGCCCCAACTGGGGACTGGGCCCACAGCCCAGGCCAGTGCCCTGACTGGGAATCCAACCAGCGACCTTTCGCTTTGTGGGGCGATGCCCAGCCAGCTGAGCCACACCAGTTGGGGCCGTCCTGTAGAATTTTCTGTGTTTGGGTCTTGCTCTTTGCATGCCTGTGGTGTTGTTGAATTTGATCCTCTGCCATCTCTCTTTTCTGTAAACTGGTTGCATCTGCATTTTCTATAAATCGGGGTCAGGTTCAGGTTTGATTTGGGGGCAGGAAGATATTACAGGTGGTTAGCGTACTTTCACAAGGAGGAGCATAGAACTCTCTCCTGTAGTGTTGGTGGCCGTCGGGGGTTGCTGCCTAGATCCAGTGTTAAACTGGAGGTTCCCAAAATGCTGCCGTTCTCATTCCGCCCTTCCGTCCCCTTGTCAACTGGAAACCTTCTGCAGACAGAGCCTGCCTCTCCTTGACTCTTGTTACTTTACAGTTATTACCTAAAAACCTGCAGAAAGAAACTCCCTCCATCAACTCTTTCTTTTACTTTGTAAAAGAAAGGTAGGATTGGTGTTTCATTTCCCCTTCTTTTTAAAATAAGTCATTTTTTCAAAGTAATTGGTTTATTGGCATCTTCCAAAGGTGGTCTCTGAAGTTTTTTGTCTTTAGTCTTTGTAAACTCATAGCTTTAAACATAGTTGGCATGATTTATTCCATTAAAGTTATTATTCTAAAAGACAAGTGCTATGTGATATCACCAATACTTGGAATCTAAGGGGGAAAAGCCAAACCTGTTGAAAAAACGGAGAGTAGAATGGTGGCTGTCGGGGTGGGGTGGGAGGTCTGTGATGTTCCAGTTCTCATTTCTGACCAGTGGGATGCCCTTCAGGTCGGCTGTCACCGTGTCCCTGAAACCCCAGCCGTCTGGGAACGCTTTGGTTCTTCGAGGTCCAACAACATGTTTGAGGCTTACCTTGCACATTCTCTCTTCCAAACCTGGAATGGGCCAGCCATCCAAGGAATCCGGCTTTATTAACAGGGCGCTAAGGGAACTCATTGGGATGGTCACTTTTTCCGGGTCTTTTCAGTGGAAGGAGCTAGGGAATAGGTGTTATTTCCTCTTTCTCTCACCCTTCTCTTCTGTTATCAGTAAATCCCATCAGCTCTACCAAAGTGCACTCGGGTTGGCCTGCTTTTTGGTCCATTGCCACAGCTCTTACCCTTTCCCCTTCAGACTACCAGAATAGCCCGTTTTCAGTCCCATTTCCTAACGCTGGTCCCTGCAAAGCAGGTGGAGTGGTCTGTTTTAAGTCTTTCTGTCAGATCATCTCACTTGCCTATTGAGCGCCCTGAGAAAGGTTCTCCCCTGCACTCAGGATGAAGTCCAAACTCCCCACCGTAGCCCCCGAGGCCTCTCGTCACCCGGCCCGGGCGTCAGGCGTCCCTCTCCCTCCTCATCTCCTTTCCTTCCACCTGCACCCTTCCCACCACATTCGACTGGCCTCTCGCTCTTCCTTATGACCAACCGCGCTCCTTTCTCGGCGCTCTGCACTGGCCGGTCTGGAATACTGACCAGCGTGGACGTCCTCCTCCAGCCCACCCGTGCCTGGCCTTTCAGTCACTCCGGCAGCAGCGCCCCCCGCCCCCAGTGCTGCACCACCACCCATCTTGCAGTTCTTTACAGAATTGCTCGGCTGACACCAGTTCACTTGTTTGTTTGCCTTCCTCTAGACTGGAAACCCCTATGAGCGGGGGTCTTTCAGGTCTTGTTCCCTCCGTGTCCCTGGCACCGGGAATGAAACCTGGCTGATAGAGGGCACGAGACAGGCCTGAGGAGTGAATGAGCAGCAGCCTTGCAAATCAGCACCACTGATGATTTCTGCTCCCTTAGAAGCATAACTCGGCTTTCTCTGAGCAGGAAGAAAGTTTGGGGTTTTCAGTTTTTCATATAGCAATGCTGTACCAATTCACTGTAGTCATGTGTGAAGCGTAAAAAGTGGGATAGTGGTGACTGACTTCAAGAGTGTGCTACAAAATCACGATGTTACTCAAAAACCCAAGTTATCCAATACTGGCTAAGCTGGTGGCTCAGTACAATACGTAAAAAGTATATATATACTATTAACCTGAGCTTTCCATATGGTCGTCACAGGGTGCACGGGACGATTTAAATTAATAACAAATAAAGTTAAGAATTCATTTCCTTAGAAGCGCCAGCCACATTTAAGGTGTGAATCACGTGGCTTGCAGTGACTGTGTTGCCCAGCAGAGAACAGAACATTCCCATCACCGTACTGGATCACATCGGACCCCTGTGAACAGTTTATCTCGTGTTCCTTTCCCCCTTTTTTACTGCATAGAGATGGCCGAGTCCTGGCTGCTGGCGGCAAGTCAAACCACCTTCATCTGTGGTGCCTAGAAGCTAAACAGCTCCTTAGAGTCATCCAGATGCCGGCTAAAGTTCGAGCCGTTCGCCACCTGGAATTTCTTCCTGATAGTTTTGATGCCGGCTCTAATCAGGTTAGTGACACGGATGCAGGACATTCTGTGCGCTGAGAAGAGTTGTATCAGTTTCTGGGCTATAGTAGCCCCTCATTTAATTGTTCCCTGATTGCTACAAGGATTTGACATTGCTAATATACGATATGCCCAGTTAATCACGCTCCACAACCTATGTTACAGTCTTTTGTTTTTCTCACTTTTTGTATAGTTATGCACCTTGCTTTCCTTTGCTTAATTCACCTTAAAGATAGTTCTTTGTCACTGCAGAACTTTGCATTTTATAGCTTTCCATAGCTTTTTAACCAGTCCTTTAGTATCGGGCACTTCACCTGTTTTTAGTCCATTTCTTCTACAATCACTGCAGGGCTGAGCACCTTCTGGCTCTCACACAGCATCTCACGCAGCATCTCACGCAGCAGCATCTCACGCAGCATCTCACACAGCATCTCAACGCAGCAGCATCTCACACAGCATCCTGCACAGCCCATCTGCAGGGAAGGGCCCAGAACTGCAGTGGTGGCCTCAGGTTCACGTGCTCTGTAAACCTGACAAACGCTGAAGTGGCCTCTGGAGAGGTCGCCCCAACTGTGAATGGGTGGGGGGGAGTGTTCTCCACCCTGACCAACAGAAGGACGTGCCTTTTAGATTGTCACTTTCAAACTGCCTCCAACCATCTCCAAAGTATAGTCTTTCATATACCCAGCGGCATCAGCATTTCCGGTAGTCAGTGGTAGCACCGCTCACAGCCACTGGCTTTGGGAAAGCACTGTACGCAGACAAGGCAACTGAGGGTTCTAAATGTATTTCACCATAAGACTAGCTTCCCTCTTACCTCCCCCCTCTCCTTGCAGCTCCGAGACTTTCTCCAGCCCCCACATGTTAGTTACATCGGCCCAAAGCCAGCGGGCAAGGGGAGCCTGAGAGTCGCAGGTGTGTGTGGGAGCAGCAGGAGGGACGTGAGCCCTGGTCAGAGTGCAGGAACCTTGGAGGGGCACACACGTCCCACCTGCCTTTCATCCGACAGCCAGTGTGGAGGTCAAGGCTAAGAACTATCTCATCGTCTGCATTCCCTTTATAGGGGTTAGCGTTGGCGGGCCTGCCTGTGGGAAGAAGGGAAGACTGAGGTAGCCCTTCCGCACTTCCCCTCCACGGGCTCCTTGCTCATTCCAGGTAAAGCTAGGCTTCTCTGGACCTGCGCAGATGAACTGCCATGAGCCCCAGCAAGGGATGTGAAAATATGTAATAGTCTCTGTGAATATGGTCTCCTGTGACCGTCCTTCCTTCAAAGAAACACATGTGCAAATGCACACCCGTACCCACTTGTGTGCGTGGTCTGATTTTCAGACATCTGACTTTTCGGTTTGCTTCTCTCTACTCTTAGGTTCTTGGCGTTCTAAGTCAAGATGGTATCATGAGATTTATCAATATACAGACCTGTAAACTTCTCTTTGAAGTCGGGAGCCTTGATGAAGGAATTAGCTCATCAGTGATTAGCCCACACGGACGGTACATTGCCTCTGTTATGGAAAATGGAAGTCTGAACATTTATTCAGTCCAGGCTTTAACGCAAGAAATAAATAAGGTATGTTGTTAAGTAAATAACATCAGTTTTTTTTAAGATTTAAATGTATCATCAAAAATAAACTCTTTATGCTACAATCTTCTAACTTCTTGGACCTCGTCCATTTTTCTGGGTATTTCCTTCCCTCCGACTCCCAAAGCCATGTCTCCAGACTTTGCTGCCTCTCACTCATCCTCCATTCTTAAATGTCTCTTTCCCTAAGGGGTGTCTGTTTGGTGGCCCAGATCCCACCCAAGGAGCCCGCATAATCTGCTTCCCAAAGGAGGCCTGCAGCCCCAGTCTCTCCATTTCTGTCCCACCCTTTCTCCAGGAAACCTCGGAGCACTGTGATTGTTCCCATTCCTTTATTTCCTGAGTCTAGTCGGCACTAAGTCATGCAGTTTCTTAAGCTGGAAAAACTACGCGTGTGTGGCCTTCTCTGCCCACAGTAGCCATCCTTGGATTGGTCCTCGTGAACCGCTCTTGAATGACAGTAATTTACCCAGATGCGCACAACTCGGAGCCCTCAGCACCCACCAACTCATCTTTGTAGAGTGTGATTTATCGTCACTTCTGAAACAGTGCTGCTCTGGCATTCCCCTTCCTCGCGCCCCCTGCGGCGAGTCCAGTCACCTGCCCAGCTCTCCAGGTGCTCTCAGGTGTCGTCTTCTCCACCCGTCCAGCCTGTGTCCCCTCACTCGTGACCTCCCTCGGTGTCCCTGTCCATGCCATCCTCGTTTCCACGTCTGTTCTTGCATCGTTCATCTCTTCCGAAGTACACTTCCCACTCCTTTTTCATGGTTATCTGCTTTCCCCCGCTTGTCACCAGGTCTGACTGTCGGGTACAGCCTTTCCAGCCCTGAGCTGTGTCGTGGTAGCGCCCAGAGGGGCTTCGGCGACCACCTGCTCTGACCGCTGCATTTTGCAGAGGAAGAAGCTGAAGCCCCAGCCTAGTCACTGGCAGGCCCTGAGGTGTCCTGTTAGTAGTCTTTTTGCTCTGGCTTGCTCCCCTTTGTCCTTGTCATCTTTTTAAAAATCAGACAAATAATAAGTGTCTTATTGCAGCGAAAAATCAAAAGAAACCAATAAGCAGATAAATAAAAATCACAGTCTCCCCATTCTCAGAGGATTTTCAAACGTGTACTCTCACAGCCTTTTGTGTGTGTGTGTAAGTGTATACAGTCACCACTCTTTATTTACACAGAGTCTGCAGTGGGGACCCACCCACTTGTGGAAATGAGTCTGTGACTGTAAAGCCGGCCCTCGCGCATCTGCGCCTGCATCCGCGTGTGCAGAGCAGCAGAACATCTCAGCTGCCCGGCAGGCAGGTTCCCAGCCGAGGTCAACAAGACCGCGCCCTGCCATTTTTCAGCTCTCATTACTGTAAACAGCATCCTTTCCGTGGGCTGTCTGCTGCCACAGTTTTCACATTTTTGTGCTTTTTCTTGGCGCTTCTGACCTTCCAAATAGCCTCCAAGCACAGTGCTAAGTGCTGTCTCGTATTCCTAAGCACAGGAAGGCAGTGATAGATAAACTTTGCTCAGGCACGAGTTATGATGCTGTTGGCCTGAGTAAGCATTTTTAAAGAGAAACGCACACAAAGCAAGGTTATGCACGGATTAGCTGATGAGAATGTGACCAGAGAGGCTCACAGGGACCTAACTGTCATTTCCTATGGGCAGTGACTCAGGATTCGCCAACTGGGTGTTTGCGGGGACTTCCGTAGAACTAACTACTGCAAATGTTGAGAATCTGCTGCGTGTGGGCACATATACTTTCTTCAAGCACAGGAATCACACTCCACTGTTTCCGTACACTCTAAAAATTTAATGATGTATTTTTTGCTTTTAATGAGAGAATTTTCAGCCTCTCTGAATTTTATAAAAGCTAGGAAAATGTTATTAATAGAAGCAGAGAGAGATCTGAGAAAAAACAAGATAGGAGTGAGCTATTGACTTCCTCTCTGCTTCTTAATTTGTTGGGCAAACTGAGATCCTATTGACCAGAAAAACCAGCATGTATCAGACGTAGGCTGGTCTTTCCTCTTCGTTTTGGACACGTTGCCAGCACCACCAGTGTCTTCGTGGCTAGTCCACACCTGCACGAACACCCCGGCCCGCAGTGCCCCCAAAACTTCACTCACTGTCCCCCATCCCCAAGTCCTCTTTTGTTGCCCCTGGAGAATTTCTGTACTGTGCTAAGGAAGGAAGCAGTTTCCACTTACAAGTTCAGGTTTCGACATTTCTGAGTGGTGGCAATGCTGGTCACATCTCAGGCTCTAACTTAGGAGATTGCATTTCATGAAACAGCATGGATTCAAGCAGGAAAAGATGTGGCATTTGACTAGAAAATTAATAAAGATTTGGAAGAATAGATTGAGGTTGGAGAGAAGGTAGTTCAAGGATATTAAAGATGGGCAATATTCAGAAGATAGGCTACTATTGATTACATTGCATAAAGAGTTGGAAAAGCAAATCATTACATGAGTGGTCGTTGTACTTTTTTTGGTCAGAGTTGTCACTATTATATTTTACATTATCCTTGTAACTTTTCTTGGCATGAGTAAATAACAATGTATCTTGGAAAAACACTTTAAAACCTTGTGCATGAAGTTAAAACTTTAAATACTTCCATAATTTTAGAACACATTAATACCTGTGCCATGTATGTTATCCCATGACCTACTCTGCACATTTTACACTGTTACAGGTTCACACATGCTCCAGGTGACCATCGGGGAGCGACCTTTGGTCTGTAGTCAGTAAGCTGCACATTTCAAAAGCAGAATTCCGAACCTGTGAGGGCAGCCTGGGAAGTTCTTTGTTTGAAGTAGTCTTAAAGTAGTCTTTTAGCAGTCTATGTTATATAAATATATATATACATATATATATATATATATATATATATATATATATATATATATATATATACACACATATTTTTTTAAGTGCCAGGGTATTTGCTTTGTTCTATTTATTTCTTTTGGGGGTAAAAGGAGAGGCGGTGGGAAGAGTTTGGGTTCTGCTTCAAAGCACTTTCCTGGAGAGCCGTGATTCATTTCCATTGTACATTGTAGAGAAACCCTCCTGGATTTCATGACGGTTTGGATTCGAGCTAATGTGTGTGATATGCGTTCCTCTGAAACCTCACATGCTCATTTGGACGTGTGGGGTATTCCTTGTGTTCTTACTCTCATGCGAAAGGAATTACTGCGTTGGTTCCAAAAAAGGTTTTATTTTTTATTTTTAAAGATTTTATTTTTAGAGATAGGGGAAGGGACAGAGAAACAGAGGGAGAGAAACATCGATGTGAGAAACATGGATTGGTTGCCTCTCGTACACACCCCGACCAGGGACCAAACCCACAACCCAGACCTGTGCCCTGACCGGTAATTGAACTGGGACCTTTTGCTTTGCGGAATGACACCCAGCCAATTGGGCCACACCAGTCAGGACCGGAAAAAGTTTATTATATCACACATTCACCTTGTCTTTGATTTGGGTCTCGGCTCATTACTGTGGGGACATTCAGGTCTCACACACTTAAGTGCCCATGAAAGTTATTGCACTGGAATCAGATCTCGAACTCACAAAGCCTGACATACCTTATCTGCTCCTGTCCTTTGAACGAAGATCTTTTGATCTGAAAGAGTGTATTACTGGTGGAGAAACTGTCTCAGTGAGTCGCTTTACCTTAAGTAAGTGGAAGTTGGGGGTTTGTTTCCCTGTCTTACAGACGGGCACAGTGAGGGCGTCAGGCCATGCTGCCTGAACCGCCCCTGAAGTCTGCGATGCAGTGAGGGACTGAGAGCCATCTCTGTGCAGACTGAACAGTGTCACCAAGGACAGAGGCAGGGCCCAGGCTTCTGGCAGGTTCCCCCAGAGAAATTTCAGTTGAGCCCAGAGAATACTAAGGTGCTTCCCTCCGCATTCTGGAAGCCACAGGTCTAAGCGTGCCCCGTCTGCTGCAGACGGTCACACCACTGACTGTCGGGGACGTGCAGAAAGGACCGTGGGCTGTGGGGTAAGGCCAGCTTTCGTGGGGTAATTAAATTCTATTTGTTGTGGTTAGTTGTGTATCTTTATTGCATTCTTCAAAGGAATTTGGCAGAAATTTACTTCGATTTGTTAGTCAATGAGGAAACATTCTTGGGTATTTTGTTTTTGCCTGAAGAATAATTATGTATATTAAGGCACATGATGAAATTGGTCAAAACCAATTTCGTAGGTCATATGTTAACAGGTCTGTTTTCCAAGGACAGCCACTGGGCTTTTTTTCTCCCTTAGCCACCCCCACCTTTAGTGAAGGTGATCGAAGACTTGCCCAAGAGCAAGCTGACGCCTGGTGACCTGAAGATGAAAGTGACATCGGGAAGAGCGCGGCGGCCGGCAAGATCTCGGGAGAACCAAGTGCAAACTAGAATATTAAAACGTGACCTGGCTGACGGGTTTGAGAATAAAGAGGTAAGGCTGTGTCGTGCGAGACTGCTGCCTGTCCGTGACTCTGCCGTGGACGGTCGGGTGCTTTCCGGCCATCGCCACCCCGCCCCCTCCTAGGGAATGAAAGAAAATAGTACGAAGAGAAGAAAGTTGTAACGGAAATTATCATATGCTTCTAAGCTTTTTAATATAAAATGGATACATGCTTACGGGTTTTAAAAAGTCAGACAGTATAGAATTGCCCCACCCAATACGCTCGCCAGCAGCCACACGTGGCTGATGAGTGCTCGAGGCCCGTCTGAGCTCGGACGCACTCACGTGTGAAATAGCTTCGGGCGTCGGACGCTCAGTGTGAGCAAAACAGTGGGGAATAGCTTAATAACCGGGCAATTTATGTTGATTGTATGTTGAAATGATAATATTTTTTATTACATTGGGTTATATAATATGTATATATTTTTTAAGATTTACTTATTTATTTACTTTTAGGCAGAGGAGAAGGGAGGGAGAAAGAGAGGGAAAGAAATGTCGATGTGTGGTTGCCTCTTGTACACCCCCTACTGGGGACCTGGCCTGCACCCCGGGCATGTGCCCCGACTGGGAATCGAACCTGTGACCCTTTGGTTGCAGGTCTGCTCAATCCACTGAGCCATACCAGCCAGGGCAGGTTACATAATATGTATTATAAAACTTAATTTTACCCGCTTCTTTTTACTTTTTTAGTGCTATTCTTAGAGAATTTGAGATTACATCTGTGGTGTGCTCATTTGTTAAGCAGTGACGGAACAGAAGGCTGTAAGGGGGGAAAATGAAAACCCACTTCTTCATCCCTGCCCTGGCCCAGTCTCCCTCTCCCCCCAGAGGTCACCCACTGTTAATAGTTGTTGATAGCCTTCCTTAAGGTTGCTGTGTATATATAAACGTGTCTGCATATATTACCTCCTTGTTTTTCATCAATGTAATCATACATAAGCACTATTCTATAACTCGTTTTTATCATTTAACAGATTGAATATCTGTTAATATTATTGCATACAGTGCTACAGCGTTTAAAAACATTTGCATGGTATTGCATTTATGGGTATACTTTTATTTATCTAACGGGTACTCTGCTGACTGGCGTGTAGGTTGTATTGTCAGTCTTCTGTAGATACAATCTTGGTTCAGTGGATATCCTTGTATGGTTATCTTCGAACATTTGCACAAGTGTATCTATAGATGTTTTTTAAGTCAGAGTATATGCATAAAAATTTCTATAGTAATAGCCAAGTTATTCTTCAAAAAGAATGTACCAACTCATCTGTTTGCTTATGTGAGATGATGATCTGTTATTATGTATGTATGAGAGAGAGAGAGAAGTTCATTCAAGAAAAACTTAGAAACAACCAAAATGTTGAATAGTAGGTAACTAATCATCTAGCATGATAGAGCTATACCCTGGAAATAAAAGGATAGTCAGGAGGAAAGGAAAATAGAGTATGTTAAATATAAAAAAGCAAGCTACAGGAACTATATACTTGGATATTGATTTAAAAGGATGTGAATACCTAAGTATTCATTTTAAAAACTCCGTAAGAAAGACAAAGAAATGAATTACCTTTGAGTAATTCTTTGGGAGGTGGGATGGGAGAGGGGGAGAGAGAGATTGTGTGTGTGTGTGTGTGTGTGTGTGTGTGTGTGTGTGTGTGTAGAGAGAGCCTGATGTTAAAATATTTCGTTCTGTGTGTTTTGTTGTAAAGTCCCTGTGGACCAGTTTACCTTTTCAGTTTTATGGTTATGTCATTTACTGGTATTTTTCTTTATAGAATGAATTGTCAGGTGGATTAAACAAGAAGCGTTTACAGATCTTATTAAAAGGCTACGGGGAGTACCCAGCAAAGTACAGGTAAAACTGAAATTCCTTCCCAGCAGATCAGTTTTGCTGCCCGGATTTCTCTTGGATAAAGTCAAACTTCCATTTCAGAATGTTCATCTGGCGTTCTCTGCTGCAGTTGCCTGAAAATCACACTGCGTTCAGCAGCCTGGTAGATAAAGGCGTCCACACGGCATTTCTCAACCTTCAGAAGAAATACCCCATCAGAAGTAGGAAGCTACTCCGCGTGTTGCAGAGGTACGTTCAGTGTATTGCAGCAACGTGTATCCCCCCAAAAATACGTACCAATACAAACGGGAAAGGAGGAATTTTGCAGTGTGGAGACTCAGCAGATACCACCTTGACCACGCACTTGAATTTAAACCCACCAGTGGTAAGACCTGGCGATACGGTGCACACTGCTTTTGTGGTGTTCTTGCCAAAAATGTATAACCGCAGTCAAACTATGAGAAAACATCAGACAAACCCAAATGGAGCCACAGTCTGTAAAATAACTCTCTGGGAGTCCTCAAAAAGGTTGGCGTCATAAAAGGTAAGAGACTGAGGACTCTCACACGGGAAGAAGCTGAGATGATGGTGTCAAATAAACACAGTACTGCCTTTTGGGCTGGTGAAGTAAACAAAGGACATTAGTGGAAAAGATGGTAAAATCTGAATAAAGTCTGTGGTTCAGCTAATAGCACTCTGCCAATGTTAATTCTTTAGTATTGATGATTACATTATACTCATACAAGATGTTAGCATTAATTTGAGTGACAGGTGTAGAGGAACTCTATTATTTTTGCAACTTTTTATAAGCCTGAAATTATTTCAAAACAAAAAGTTAAAGGAAAAGGGAACCTTTAAAGTGTTAGAAGTAAATGTGAGAGAATTAGAATCCCATAGTAAGGTATAACACAGCCAGATGCGAATAAAAATCTTAATAAATAAATATTTAAATAGGGAAACTATCAAATGGAAAATAATTTCAATGCAAAGACATGTAAAACAAAATATATGTTAAACGTGGCAAATAAAAGACTGACTTCTTTGTTAGTGTACTTTCTTTAATATATGACGGTCAGTTTATAAACAATGGAAAAAGGACCGAATACCTAGTTCATAGCAGAAGTGGTTTTTAAAAATGAAAAGATGCCTCATGTCCCCCATCATAAAAGAAACACCGATTTAAACTGCCTTGAAAAGTACACGTGTTTTGAAAACTATATTGAAATACAATTCTCACATAAATTAAAGATTCAGAAAGAAGGCTGATGATCAGATATGTTGACAAGAGTGAGAAATTTGGCAGTGGCTGTAGAAATTACTAACACCCGTGTCCTGCGGCTGACTCGGCGTCCACTTCTAGGACCTGACCCACCTCTGGTCCCATGTGAAAAATGGTGGACGTACCAGGGACATTAAGTGTAGGGTTGTTTATTGAAGATTGGACACGACTTACATGCCCGAAGGGCCACGTTAAAGGAAGTGGTGTGTGCCTGCCTTCCTGTGTATCTATCAGATATCGGGCAGAAGCTCAGAGCATAGTGATAGGAACTCCTTCCAAGGTACCATTGAGTGACAAATGCCAGGTTTCGATCAAGGTTTGTAACGCACCACGATTTGTGATTTTTTTTAAAGGACTGATCCTTTCAACAGTGGTTGTGGGGAGGTGAACAAGATGATAGGGGTGGGAGGGAGAATTTTGAGCAATTACACCTTCTGTATCAAATTTTAGTTATGTGATTATATTGGCTATTCCATTACATTTGAACAATAAACTGGTTTCCGGTCTTCGTTTCCTTGTCTTACTCCCAGGACCCTGTCTGCACTGGCTCACTGGTCTGCCATCTTCAGCGAGACTCCCTATCTTCCCCTGCTGGCGTTTCCGTTTGTGAAATTATTCCAGAACAACCAGCTCGTCTGTTTTGAAGTTGTAGCTACTCTCATAAGTAAGTTAATACGCATTAAATAATGAAACTCGGAGTGGATTCCTGTACGTTTTCCTGATGTCTGTGCTCCTTTGCAACGTCGAACAATTCAAGTGTGAAGCAGTCAGATAGTGTAAGACAGTGCAGACATTTAAACACACACCTTGAATTTACAAGAGAATGTGGATCGCTGTAGTTTATCATCACGGGCTGCGTGCTGTTGGTCAGGAGGAAGCAGGCGCACTCCGTACCGAAGGTCGGTGGTTATCCGCAGGACGGTAGTCAGCATGTAAAGTGCTTACACACACTCCACGTTTTGTCCACATTAACTCCTTTAACCCTCACAACCACCCAGAGGCAGGTGGCGGTGTAGTCCCCTTCTCCTGTGTGAGGAAACAGGCTCTAAGCGTGGGGCATTATTTTATTTATTTTTAGAGGGGAAGGGAAGGAGAGAAGGAGAGAAATATCAATGTATGGTTGCTTCTGGTGCATCCCCTGCTGGGAACCGGCCTGCAACCCAGGCATGTGCCCTCCCTGACTGGCAATCGAACCACGATCTTTTGGTTGGCAGGCCCGTGCTCAATCCACTGAGCTACACCAGCCAGGGCTGTGAATACTTCTTTTTACGTTTTTTTTATTACATTTTATTTGTTTTGATAAATTTTTACTGATCATTGGAGAAAATGTAGGAAAACATATAAAAGAAAAGAAAATCTACCAATATTCCTCTTCCCCAGAGGATTCCCCCAAGTCATTAATGTTCTTGAAAAACATAATTATTGCCTGCATAGTATATTTCATCGTTAGGTGCACTGTGCTTTGTCTATTCCCCAACTGCTAGACTTCTGGATTTGTTTTCCTGAATTTTTTCACACTTTCAGGTTGTTTTTTATTTTTATAATCATACTATTACTTAGTATGATTATATGTATTTATAATCATATTATTATTTAGTATGTTATATGCATTTACCTTATTTTTTAAACTTTTTATTGACTATAATATTCCATAATGCGTATGTACTGATTTAATCTATCGTTGAACATTTGGGTTGTTTCTAATTTTTACCTATTAAAAGTAACAATGTTACAACTGTCTTCGCATGCAAACATTTATCATTTCTTTTTCGTGGATTTCCAGAATTGGTATTATCAGGCCATAAATAGGAATTTCCTAATCAATTCTCCAGGACGGTTGTACTAGTTTGCCCTGCCAGTAATGCCAGAAGTTTTATTTTAAAAGGAAAAACAAGTCAGCAACAAAGTGCTCGTAGCTCAGATCCAGGGTAGCTCGGATCAGGTGTAGCTCGGATCGGGGGTGCTTTGGGAAGTTTTGTTTGTTTGTCTCTCACTGACTGCTCTGAAGAAATTGGCAAGTCTCTATTAACCTGAAATACTGTGTTAACATGATGGAATTTTAAATCTATTGTTCTAGAATATAGAGTTATGTTTTTTTCTTCATTAACGGGCATGTGGAGGACATGAAGAGTGGATATATTTAAGCATTGCAGAGTACTTTGGTAATACAGAAAGGTGAAGATAAATGTCTCGTTTTTTTCCTTCGTAGTCAATTGGTGTCAACACTGGTTTGAATATTTCCCTAACCCTCCCATCAACATTCTCGCCATGATAGAGAACGTTCTCGCGTTTCACGACCAGGAGCTGCTCCGGCACTTCATCGACCACGACGTGACCTCCCAGGTGAGAAGTGCCAGGTCCTTGGAGCACCAACATTCTGGAAGCCCCATTGGTTCTCACGTAAACAAAACAGTAGTTTCTTGAATGCGGATAATAAAAAAAAGCATACTATCACTGTATTTTTAACAGCATTTCATTCTTTTTTTCTCATTAAACTGCTTTCCTGAAAGTCTATAAAGAAGGGTCCAAATTAAGGTAGCTCTTTTCATAACTATGTTCTTAATGTAACAGTGTTGATAACTAGACCAAACGTAGGCAGCACCAACAGTGGCTCTTCCCTGGAGGATGAATCCGCTCTCTCTGACTCACTGCAGCTGTACGCGTGGCCTCTGCTGGAGACGCTGTTCTCAGAAGTGCTGACGAGGGAGGAGTGGCTGAAACTGTTCGATAACGTCTTTTCCAACCACCCGTCGTTCCTCCTGATGACCGTGGTGGCCTACAACATTTGCTCCAGGGGTCCTTTGCTCCACTGTAATCTCAGAGATGACTTTGAGGTAAATATCCCTGTTCTTACATAGCAGTTCTCAAATTTCATTTGTTTCCATTGAAAAATGCATTCACTATCAAGGACGGATCGTATGTCGGGTACTGGTGCTGGAGGTAGGAATACAGTGGAGAGCAAGTCAGACCACATCCGTGTCCTTTCATAGTCTGCAGACAATTCAGCGGGCAATCCCAGCAGAGCCGTAGTCTAACACCGTAGCTTCGGAAAAGAGCCGTGGTAACATGGGAGTTCTGTGCTTTTTTGCCTCCATGTAAAAGATATTTAACAATTCGGTTTATTCTGTGCATGGTCTTACCACAGTGACCCATCTGGTCTTTCATAATCTGGACCCTGTGTGAAACTGGATCTACCAGCAGAATAAGTCAATGTCAAAATATTTCAGCCCTGGCTGTTGTGGCTCAGTGGACTGAGTACCGGCCTGCAAGCCAAAGGGTCACCAGTTCAATTCCCAGTCAGGGCATATGCCCGGCTTGTAGGTGGGGTCCCCAGTAAGGGGTGCATGGGAGGCAACCACATATTGATATTTCTCTCCTCTCTCCCTCCCCTCTCCTCTTAAAAATAAATAAATAAAATCTTTTTAAAATTTATTTTTAAAATGCATTACATGGATGCAATAAAAAATATTTTATATTATTTTTTAACCAAGGTAATTTATTTTCAAAGGCTGATTTTTTTTTAATTTATTTATTTTGGATTTGGGAGGGAAAAAAATTAAAGTAGAAGTATTTATTCCTTTGTTGAAGCATTCTGGATTATACAGGAAGCCTGCATTTTGAGTTAAAATTTTTAAAGTGTTATTTCAAAAGTTTTATAAGATGGTTGTAAAATTTTTGAAGTTATGAAATCTAAAATATAAAATTGGATCTTTGGTTAAAAAAACTTCAGTTTATTTGAAAAAAAATTTTTTGAAGATAAATTCACATTTACATTTTTAAACTACTATTTTAAATCTACCTGTAATTGCTTTACTAGGTAGATCTCAATATAAACACAAAGTTTTCTTACAGTACTTTTTTCACCATCGGAATAACCTGGATGTAAGTGTTGTAATCAGAGAAGTTTATCACCTGATGGACACCACGCCTCCTGATGTCCACCCAGAGAGGACACTCGGTGTTTTTGTGGCGCTGACCAAAGGGCAGTATCCAGTGTTCAATCAGTATCCGAAGTTCATTGTGGACTATCAGACGCAGGAACGGGAGAGGATTAGGAATGATGAACTGGATTACTTAAGAGAGAGGTAATCATGGAAAAGTTGTTCTTCAGTAGAATCAAAACCTGCTATAAATATAAAAAAGAAAAAAGAAATGAAAAATACATGTAAGCCCTGGCTGGTATGGCTCAGTGGATTGAGTGCCAGCCTGTGAACCAAAAGGTCTCTGGTTCGATTCCCAGTCAGGGCCCATGCCTGGGTTGCGGGCCAGGTCCTCGGTAGTGGGTGCCAGAAAGGCAACCACACATTGATGTTTCCCTCTCTTTCTCCCTGCCTTCCCCTCTGTCTAAAAATAAATAAATAAAATCTTTTTAAAGGAAAAAAGAAAAACACACGTAAATGATTAAGTATTTGTGTAAAATCAGCACTTTAGGGCTGGAAATATCTTTAAAGATACTTAATTCTTATATACAGAAGTAAAAAAAATAAGTATATTAATCATGTATGCACTTTATATTTTGGTTTTTCTTGTACTTAAATGACTCGGTTTTCTCATTTGCATTTTTATGTAATAACAAATATCTCCGTAAGGCAAGCAGTTGAGAATATGCAAGCTGAAGTGGACCAGCAGAGAGTTGAAGACGAAGCCTGGTGCCAAAAGCAGGAGCTGCTTCGCAAAGCTGAGGAAACGAGGAGAGAGATGCTCTTACAAGAGGAGGAGAAGATGATGCAGCAGAGACAGAAGTACGTTTTATCGCTTTGAAAAAATCCGGACATAGGACTTAGTTGGACAATTTTTATTTTTCGTTATAGAAACAACACTATATATGACCTTATCCAGCTGTGGTATTTCCATTAAGCAAATACTGAAGTTAATAAAAAGAAATCTGTGTATATACCACTTCTCAAAAAAAATCGGCATGTAGTGAAATGGAACGCTAACGCTGTCCTATGATGTCACTTCACACTGATGACTCGGAAGTAACACAGGACCTGGTCCTGACGACGTTACTCTGCAGGGGCAGAAATGCTGTGTCTTACTGTGCTTGATAAATTACTCCGGGCAGAGCATGATTTTTAAGTTATGTTTTAAACATAGCTATGTGACCTGAAAATTGAAACATAAAATGGTTATCTCATGCATTTTGTACTTTGGAGGATAGGGAAAGAAGTATTAAATATTCATTGAAGTAAATTGTTGAAAGTAATTAAGATTATGGGCTGAGCTTTGAGACTAAGCCTCATTACTGAGAGACGTCTGTGTTTATTGATTCTTTTTTTGTTGGGTATGACTCTATGAAACAGATCTCTGTGTGTTAAAAAGAGTTACTGAAGCCCTGACTGGCGTGGCCCCATGGGTTGGGGATCGTCTTGCAGCTGAGGGGTCGCTGGTTTGATTCCCGGTCAGGGCACTTGCCTGGGTTGTGGGTTTGGTCCCTGGCTGGGGGCATGAGAGAGGCAACTGGTATAGATGTCTGTCTCTGTCACACCATGGTGTTTCTCTCCTTCTCTTTCTGCCTCCCTTCCCCTCGCTAAATAAATAAATAAATAAATATTTTTTAAGCCACTGAGAAAGACGTGCACTGTGCCACTCTGTTGGGTTAATAAAGCTGCTGTAGTGAGCATAACCCACGTGTCTTTTTCTCTGTGGACAGTGGTAAACCCACCTCTGCCCACCCCCGTGTTTTGTGTTTCAGACTCGCTGCTGTGAGAAGGGAGCTGAAAGTGAAGGAAATGCACCTACAAGACACTGCGAGAAGGCGTTTTCTGAAGCTTCAGCAAGATCAGCAGGAAATGGAACTGAGAAGACTGAATGATGAAATTGAGAGAAAGGTTTATTTTTCTTAGTCCTCCTATATTCTCTTTATCTGATCTCATTTAAATGCAGTGAACACATTTAAGCTGAATATTACCCCTAGAGTTCACAATGAATGCTAAATAGCCCCTCTAATTTAACTCTTTCCCTCAGCCATTCTCATTCTCCTTCATACGTTCCATTAATAGTTAAATATTTTAGAAATGCCAGAAAAACTGCTCAGGTTGACCGGTGTCCCTGGTGACTTGCTCTAAAAATGGCATTATCAATTAACCATTATGTTCATTGTGATGTAGAGGAAATACTGTTTTTAATATAGAAATCTATGCATGGCCAGTAAAAAAATTTTCATGCTGAACAGTAGCAATGCCATTTGCCACGCGGGTATTGCCTGTTGAATTCCCATAGATACTCCATCTCCCCCACTGCTCTGTCTCCTCCAAAGCGCCACCACGCTGCATGACCGGTGTTCTCCTGACCAGCAGACCCCGTTCCCACTGTTAGTCCGCCCTTTCAGTTTTCCAGTGTCTTCCAGTGTTCCAAACAGACCTGGAGAAGTATGATGCTCTCTCTCGCTCTCTCTCTCGCTCTCTGAATCCCCACCTCACCTCTGTCCTCTTGGAATTTTAGTTAGGATTACATTGACTTCATAGACTCACTTAGGGTGCTTCAAACCTAGTTTTGGTAAAATACTAAATATTTTAAAAATATTTTTAATTATTTTTAATTCATTGGTATTAGAAATTATCTCTTTCTAACATGTGGTAATATTTTTGTTCCAAGCCAATTAATTTTAACTTTTTTTAAAAATCTATGGTTCCTTTTAATTATCTGGTAAGGTCGATAATTCATTATTCTAGAAAAGTCTATGTTCTCCAAAAGTATTACAGGCTTAGGACTCTGACCTCTTTATTCCAAACCCCTTTGAAGTATAGTAGAAGGCAGTTTTTCTGGTCAAAGCCCATGTGAAGTCCTTCCAGTGGCGTGATTGGCCTCTGCCTACCCCCCCTGCTCCCGGTTCTGACAGTGAGCTCTGACCCTGCTGACCTGTGAAAGACACACACTTCTCTGCTCACAGCTCAGGCAGCAGCAGGAAAGACTGCTGCAGTCCAAAGTGACACGGACAAGTGACTGAGGACATCTCCTAGCAACAAGCAGGGGTGATCTGTTTTTTGCTGTGGTGCATAGCTGTTTGTACCTCTGAAAATGCATGAGCAAGAGAGCTTCTGTAATTGGAATTCCTAAAAAGCGTCACTTGCTATGCCAGACCTTCCTCCACCTGTTGGCGTCATTACTGCCTTGCTCATAAACTCGGGTATAAGATGGTTTCTAATGTTCTCTATTGGAAGAGCACCTTACTCAAATCCTCAGTGTATTAAGAGTGAAAAGCTTCCAAGTAATCAAATTTTGGAGACAGGTGAACTTTAAAGAAGCTAAATCGAGGCAGGGCATATGCAGGTTGAAGAGTCCATAATATATTTAAACTTGACGTTACTAGTAACAAAGTAAATTTACAAAAGAACAGAAGCTTAATCAAAGAAAACATTAAATATGTTATATTTAATAAGATTAAACATTCTATATATTTATCCACCCCAAATTTAAATTGCTCAAGCATTTCTGACTCCTAATATTGGCTAATGTAAAGTGGTAAGAACCTGCCATCTGTTCTCCCAGCGTGAGTAGATGAACATATGGACAATGTGCTTTCTTTTGTAGAAAGTTAGGCTCAGCCTTGGCTGGTGTGGCTCAGTGGATTGAGTGCTGGCCTGTGAACCAAAGGGTGGCCAGTTCGATTCCCAGTCAGGGCGCATGCCTGGGTTGTGGGCCAGGTCCTCAGTGGAGGGCACATGAAAGGCAACACATTAATTTTTCTCTCCCTCCTTCTCCTTCCCTTTCCCTCTCTCTAAAAATAAATAAGTAAAATCTTTTTTTTAAAAAGAAAATTAATCTTAACTTTAACTCAGACATTATTCCTAGATTCCATACTGAATGTGAATATATCAATTATTCTGATTCCAAAAGCCCAATACCTATTATTTTAAATACTTGCAGTGAGTTGTTCAGATTACAAGATTACTCACACTATTAAAAATTATTCTGTAAATTCTTTTTGGTATTCACAATTTTTTTAATCATAGGTATATATGAGAGATCGAGAAATTGCTACCACAGCCAGAGACCTAGAAATGAGACACCTGGAACTCGAATCACAAAAAAGACTTTACGAGAAGGTATAAATGGGCTCTTCCCAATATAGGAAAAGTGGAGTTTATATAATCTCCTTTTAGACTGTATTTATTCATGGTTTTTTGATATTCATTTTATTTGTTTTTGTTTTTAAGAGAAACAGTGTCATCCAGGATGGTCAGGTAGCCCGACTGTTCAGATGTACAGTTGTTTTCTGTTGCACTCGATACAGTTCTTTTCCTAAAGGCTGCCTGTCTTTGTGGTTGAGGTTGGTAGCAGCGATTGATGAGCCATATCTTAAACTTTTTTTCTGTTGTTGGTAGTTTAAGTGGTTTACAATTTTTGGCAACAAACTTCTTCACACACATGCCTTCTCTGCACGTAATTGAAAAACATTTTTGTCTTTAATTATATGGAAGTTATGCTGCCGATGGATGGTTAGAAAAGTAGAAAAAAATCCCGTAGGAAATAACTGCTAATGTCATCAGTAAAGATAAGTCAGATTAGTTGCTTCAAACAATTGATACGTATTTTGCTTTTTTAACTTCAGTCTGCACGAATGCTGTTTGCTCCCCCCAATGCCTGTACCCATTAGCACCCACTGCCCGTTCTCACTCCCTGTTGCCCTGCCTCTGGCAGCCACTGATTTATTTTCTGTCTCTGGCTTTGTTTATTCTGGACATTTCATGTAAATGAAATCATGCAATTTTCTTTCAGGTAGCGTAATGTTTTCAAGGTTTAGTCACCTGGTATAGCCTAAGTCATTACTTTCTTTTTTATGGCTGAATAATAAACACTCCGTTGTATAGACCGATCACATTTTGTTTATCCATTCATCAGTTGGTGGGTATTCGCGTTGTTTTCACTGTTCTCTCTGGTGAGTAGTGCTGCTGTGAACATTCACATACAGCTTTGTCCGGACGTACACGGCCTTAGATACAGGCCTGGGCGTACAGAGTCCCCATTTCTCTCCACTCTCGGGAGCAGGTGTTGTCATCGGCCTTTCGGTTATAGCCGTACTAGTAGGTTGTGCAGTGGTACCTTATTGTGGTTTTCGGTTGCATTTCTGTTATGATTAGTGATGTCAGGCATCTTTGCGTATGTTTATTGGCCATTATTATATCTTCTGTGGGGATCATGTAGTTAATGTTTATTAAAAGTATATAGGGCCATACTTTTTTGGTTTTTAATAAGTTGTAATTTTTTGTTGTTGAAAACTAGACATTTTAAATAATGTAATGTGGCAGATCAGATTCTCCTCCCTCCCCAGCATTTCTTGTGGTTCCTTTGCGTAGTGATTTTTCTGAATTAATTCTGTGAAGTCTCTGGTCTTTGCCATATGTAGCCACTTGAGACCCCCCTCAGGCAGCTTAGTGATGGGACAGAGATGTCCCTGGATGCCTTCAACAGTCAGCCTCCAGTCTTTGCCCAAGGGCTCTGTGCGCATCCTGCTGGGGACGCCCTGTGCACTCAGGTAGGTAGGGACAGCTCCATCTTAGATTTCACCTCCTGAGTGTGCAGAACCTCAGTTCACGCAGTTGGCGGCATAGGGCCTTCTCAGGTCTGAGCGTTACCACAGCTCTTGGCGTGTGCACGGCCTTACACGTGCACACGGCCTTCCAGGGTCCCGAGGAGCTACCGGAGCTTCTCAGAGCCCCCTGTGGACATCGGCTCCCCAATTTTTCTATAAAGCTTCTTGATTAGCCTGTTCACTCACTGGGGTCCACTGTCTCAGGCAGCCAGTATATTCAGTAGCTTCCTGTGGTGGTTTTGAACAAGTGTCCCCGGGAAAAGGCTGTTGGAGGTCACAGAGCTCTGAGTCAGGTCAGATGAAGACAGCCGTGGGAGTGGGGTCTCTCAGAGCCTTCAGACGGGTGACGGCAGTTCTCTGGAACGAGAGTTCGGAAGCGCTCCATCCTGCCCCCTCCTTCGACTGCCAGGCGGCCAGTCGTCAAGGCGAATGCAGTGATGGGGTGGAAATAGGAATAACGCACATTAAAAAGGCCATATGCTTGCTGTTCTTACCAAGATCCGGCCATTTTTATGAATAAATGCCCCCCAGATTGCCACAAACCTTCTCCTGACTTCCAGAGTTCTGAAAAAGCCACTTGGTTTTGCCAGGGTTCTTGGGGCATTTGGGGGTGAGAGAGGTTTCAGGGGTCCTTACTGTTCCTTCCACTGATGTCGCTGCTGTTCGTTTTTTACTTTGAAAGTTAGATGATTACATTTTTTATTTGTGTGCCTATTGGTATTCTGGGAAAAAAAAAGAAGTCATTTTTGTGTTCAAGCACAATTGTTACAGATTGGTGATTATTTTTCTTAACAATTTTTTCAATAGAATCTTACTAGAAATCAAGGAACCATTGCAAAAGAAATGAGAGAAGACGCAGACGCCTATAGACGAAAGGTGGATCGTGAAGAACGCTTGTTTCGTAGACTGATAGAAACAGACCAGATGCAGAACCAAGACACTCAGAAGGTAGACGCGTGGTCAGTGTAGTGTGTTTATAAAGGGGGGAATTCCCATCTGTCATCGAGGAATAAAACTTGAACTCTGCTGAGTTAATTCATTCTTTGCTTCAGTTAGCGCTGCTCTAGAATCTCACGTTATTTTATTTGCAGGTTACTTCACTGGCAGCTACATACATGTGTCTTTTATAGAGAATTTTAAGCCTTAGAAGAAAATACATTGGAACTAGTAACTTTATAAATTGTAGTATGCTACCATGTTATGTCTCAGAAATTGTTCCTGAGAAGTTAAAAATATCAGGTCTCTGCCTGGCATATAAGCCAATAGTTTCAAAATGTGTTCTCTAGAATATAATAAGTATTATTGAGTAAAATGGGGGGGTGACAAATGCATATTGGAAATGCTACGTTATAGTTTTTCATGCCAAATTTAAAGATATGTATACTGTGAATCTTTAAGAAAATTTCCCAATCTTATAGAATTTCTTGTGTAGAAATTCTGGCTTAAATGAATTGAAACAGAACTTGAGACCTGTGAGAGAGAACGTTTTGTAGGATCCCTTAAACAGAGTGTTAAGCAGGTTTATGGGAGGGCCCGGCCCTGGTCCAAAAGCCAGGAATGGTGCAGGAGTTCCCACCTCCTGTTCTGCAACTGTCACTTGGCTCATACTCCCTGAATAGTCCCATTTTTTTCCTTAAAGACTTTTGTCCAGTCTGTAACAATGGACTCTTCTGACTCCTTTTCAAAGGGTTGAAACATGAAAGTTGTTTAACTCCCACCTGTCTTTTAGCTAGAAGTTCTCAACCTCGACTGTACGTTTGAATCACCTGAAGAATGTTCTAAAAGTACCAATATCCAGCTGCTCCAGAGAGTGATTGAACTGGGACATCAGTTTGTTTTAAACACCTAGAGGTGCTTTTTTAAAAATTCTCACTTGAGAATATATTTATTGATTTTAGAGAGAGAGAAAGGAAGGGTGATAGGAAGAACGAAATAATGGATCGGTTTGCCTCCCATACGCTCCCTGACTGGGGATAGAACCCACAACTTTCAGACACACAGGACGACACTCCAACCAAGTGACTCATCCAGCCAGGGCTAGAGGTGACTTAATACGTACCCAGGGTTACAAACAGCTGCCCTAGACACTCGGATATATTACGTGGATATACCATAACTGTACGTAGTCTGACCTTGATTCTGAAATTGACGATTTTTTTCTTAGTTAATTAAAGAAAACTTGGCAAAAGCTGAACAAGCGTGTCTAAACACTGACTGGCGGATTCAAGCTTTGCATAAACAAAGACAGGATGATCTGCAGCGAAATGAATGTTACCAGGAAATGGCCAAACTCCTTCGGAAAAACAGGAGGAAAGAAACAGAAGTATTAAATGCAATGCTGGGGAAGGAAGTCAAAAAGGTAACAATGATGTTGTAAACTCGTTAATTTAAATTTTGAAACATGGCATAATCAAATGACAAAAGCATCAAACCAGGTAATTTTTTGTTGGCAAATATCTTAAAGATGGTCTAATTTTAATAGGTGTTGCTCAGAGAAGTCCAACATTAATGGAGGCCACCAAAAAAAACGACTGTGCGTCTTTCTCATGTACCTTAGTGGGTCTCAGCGTCTCGGCTTCCAGGGTTTGTTCTGGCTGACTGAAGGACAGTACTGCTCACCTAACTCTTCGTGCTTGCAGCGTGGAAGAGTTGCCCAGGCCCGGTGGCTCCGTTGGCTGACGCGGCATTCCCCACCAAAACCCCACCATTCCATTACTGGCCAGAGCGCACACCTAGGCTATGGGTTCCATGTTTCTCTTTTTCTCTCTCTCCCTCCCCCTCCTTCTGACTGTGAAATCTAAAATATATCCTTGAGTGAGAATTTTCTAAAAGACAACTATATGTAGTTGCTAGTAACAAAAGCCAAAATAACAGTGATGGTAAAGCAAGATACAAGTTTTCTTTTTCACGTGAAAACAGCCTGGAGGTGGGCCATCCAGGAGTGGTGTCCTGACTCCGAGGTCCTCAGGGAAACGGCCTCCCAGCCTCTGCACTGCTTCCTGGTGTGTGTCTGTCTGTCATTGTCACGGGTGCCTGACCATCAGGGTGATGGGACTCCAGCCCTCACACAGATGTTCCCCTTGGCAGGGAGGAGGTGGGGCAGAAGCGGAAAGGGTCCCACCTCCCAGCTGGATGGTTCCTTTCGAACTCCGTTCAGAATTCCAAGGTCACGTTTCTAGCCACATTTGGCGCAGTGTTGGAAAGGAAGTCTTTTTAGCAAGGAGCATTGTCATCCCAAATGAAATTAGGATTCTGTTCCCAAAGAGGAGTCAGAGAACGGGCGCTGAGGAGACGACCAAAGCGGGTACATCACACACCCGAACCCTCTGGCTGACCCTCCCTGAACAGCCGTGGCACCTGCGCTCTGGGTGTGCAGGGGGCACGGTGACCCCCCCTGAGGACACTGAAGGGCCAGGCAGAGGTCAGGAGCTGTGCAGCTGGCTTTCTGCTGCTGGACCATAATGTCCGTTCTGAAAGCTTTTCCTAACAATTTTCCTTCAAGTCACTCTTCCAGATTGCTCCTCCTCTTACCCTTTCTTTTGTTCCAGGACAGGGAGGGGTGGGAGTGACACCCAGATCACGGGGGCTGGGCTGCACAGTTAGGGGTGACTCTCCTGTGGGTGAAGGGGCACCTCCGGAGCACAGTGAGAACCGGAAGGGCAGAGATGCCCTTTGTGTCCCGAGGCCTGGGTCCTGGCCTGGCTACTGCGTGGCCTTGGAGGATCCCTCAGTCTCAGGCTGCTCATCAGCAGCAGGGACGGGATGGGTCTCTGTGGTCCTCCTGGGCCTGTGAGTCTTTCGAGTTGTTATTTCATGCATATTTAACTCATTAGCATTTCTATAGCAGAAATTTTGCGTATAAAAGCTGTAGCATCTCTAGACTGTTGGTGAACTTTAGGAGTTATATAGTATTTTAAATTGATTATTTTAATTTCCTTTGAGCTATTGTTTTCTCACTTTTGGAAGAAGAAATAGGGTCTAATAGAGATTTGACTTCCCTGTAGTTGTCATGTGTAGACATTCTTTCTCCACGCTGTGACGACTATGGCTAACAGCTGCTGCACGCCAGATAGGAAAGTCGTTAAGAGACTAAACCTTAAAAGTTCTCATCACAAAGAAAACGTCTGCTCCTTCTTTTCTTTTTGTTGTATCTGTGAAAACATGGATTTAGCCGAGCCTGTTGGAATCACCTGATGGCATACATAAATCACGCCGTCACGCCACGTGCCTTGTACAGTGACGTACGCCAGCTATTCTAAATAGAACTAAAAAGAAACAATTCATTCTGAGTTTTGTAGACCTTGTTATTAAGACATAGCATTGACGTTAAATAGAAGTTGCCATTAATTTAAAAAAGTAAAGCTCCATCTAACAGGATTTGAGATTTGCAATGTAGTGACACGAACTGTCAGTTCGGTGACACTGGGTCTCCGTGGGCACATGGCACTCTGGGCTGCTGGTGGCACCAGAGGCACCTCTGCGTCCAGGTCCCCAGCCGCCAGGTGTGGGGCAGGCACCAGATCGCCCCGACACCAGTCGGGTCCCAAGTGCTTGGGCACATGGAAGGAAGCAGGTCGGCGGAGGGAGCAGAAGGGGCGCCTTCCACTGCGGGAACCCGCATTACCGCGGTGTTTACGTGCGCTTTTGTTCCCTTGTTTACATCTAGTGGGAGGAGGCTGCAGAGAAGGACTTTCGGTTGAACTTAGAAAGGGAAGCGTCCGCTCTCTCCGATGCATCCAGACGGTCGTTTCTGGAGCAGGAGATACACGATGCCCTAGAGCACGCTGCCCAGCCCCGTGACGCAGGTGAGTGCCCGAGGGCCTTCTCGCTCGTCTCCGTGCCACAGGTGCATTCGTTTTTTGCGGTCTGTGCTCACGGACAAACCCTGCAGCTGTGTCTCGGCTCTTTTCCTCACGTTATTGCTCAGCTGAAAGGTAATCCCTCATCACCTTTTTGGTTCGGGTCAGGAAGAGTGGGCTGAGGTGGTGGAGCTGTTAAAAAAACAACTTCAACCATGAGAAAATTTGAGCCACCTGATGGCATTCTGTTTTGTACTGCGGCTCTGGGGTCCTTGGCATCCCCTTAATGTGCTGGTGTATGATCTGTTCCCATGGTGCCGTTTCTAGTTATTTTAGTAAAACTGCATGCATTGCCAACAGCTGGTCCTCGGAACAATCGTATATTAAATTGACAGGAGGAAACTTACGTTACGGTGTAGTCAAACTTTGGGTCTCCTGTTCTAGGGCTTATTGTAGTGGCATCAACTGAGAAGTCAGAATTGCGGTTTAGAGTACAGATACAGGGGACTTTTATTTCACTACATTTTTGTATTGTTTCGGTCTTTTACAATGTATATGTCTTACTTTTTTTAAAAAAAAGATTTTATTTATTTTTAGACATAGGGGAAGGGAGGGAGAAAGGGAGAGAAACATCAATGTGTGGTTGCCTCTCATGTGCCCCCTCCTGGAGACCTGGCCTGCAACCCAGGCATGTGCCCTGACTGGGAATCAAACCAGCGGCCTTTTGGTTCGCAGGCCGGTGCTCAATCCACTGAGCTATGCCAGCCAGGGCATTACTTTTTAAAAATAATAGCCTTATTGATATATAATTCATATGCCATACCATTCACTTCTCTAAAGTCTACAATTCAGTGGCATTACCATATCTTAAACAGTCCATTCAGTTATATAACCATTACCACGACGTTAGACCATTTTCAGCACCCCCCCCCCAAAGAAACCCGTACCCGTTTGTCGTCATTCTCCATCTCCCTTCACTCTCCCCACCCCCAGCCCCCACCCTGGCCACCGCCAATCTACGCCGTCCCCACAGATTTGCCTCCTCAGGGAAGTTCACATAAATGGAATCGCACGGTATTTGGGCCTGTGCCGGCCTCCTTTCACCTGGCGTGATGTTTTGAGGTCCAGCCACGTTGCAGCACGGGCCAGCACTTCATTGCCTTTTATTGCCCAATAATACTTCGTTGTATGGGCATTGCAGTTTTATTTATTCATTTATCAGTTGGTGGACATGGGGCTTGTGTCCACTTTTTGGCTTTTATGAGAGATGCTGCTGTGTACCCATTACTTTAATAGTTCACAAATTTAAAAAGTAAAAACACAGGTGAGACGCTGTCACCATTTAATTGCACCCGCTTTCAAACCCGCTGATTCCCTCCCGTACTTCAGGTTCAAGTCCCAAACACACCCAGAGCGCTTGGGAACAGTGGCGAGTGCAATGTCACTGCCCACGAACCAAATATTTAAAACTGGCTTTCCGAAGACGATGACCGCTGCAGCCGCTTCTCTCGAGCCCGCCACACCTGCCCCGTGAGGGAGGGGACAGTCTTGAGGCTTTTAGAGAAGGCGTGGGTTCAGAAGCAGAAAAAGGGAAGAAGCTGTCGGAGCTTCTCTCATCAGTGGGGAGTCTCCCTGCACGTCAGCCCCTCTGCCCGCTCCTTCCCAGCCTTTCCCCGATGTCCCCGCTGAGAGAGGAGTGGGTTAATAACCGGCGTTTTTCAAAGGTCGATGTGTGAGGATTTTTTATGTCCTTCATATGGGGCATATAAGTTCAACCAAAGCCATTTAATCCTAAAACTGGGAGATGATCAGCTATGGTTAGGAAAATCGTTTTGTTTATTTAATCCTCATCCAAGGATGTTTTTTAAATTGATTTTAGAGAGAGGAAGAGTGGCAGGATGGGGAGGTGGGTGGCGAAGAGAGAGAGAAACGTGGATGGGTTGCCCCCTGCACGGCCCGACTGGGGATCGAACCCACAGCCTGTTGACGAGTGCTCCAACCCACTGAGCCGCGCAGCCAGGGCAGGAGAGTGGCGTTTTGATGGGAGGTGCTCAGCACCTACTGGGGTGTCGGTGGGACATAGAAGGGAGGCGCTGGGAGGCGCCGATGTTGCTGATGACACAGCAACATCGCTGTAGTTTACTGTGTGATAATTTACTGCATGTTTCTTTGGGGAGACGTGTTAAACCACTGCGGGCAGGATGGATTTAGGACCGAAGGGAGGCAAGGGACGGTGACTCTCTGGTTGGGAAGGACCTGCAGAGCTCAGTGGGTGGGCGGGAGCGGCGGCCAGGCCTGGGCCGCGAACTCGGGAGCTGCCGCGTCCCAGCGGAGCCGCCAAGCCCGCTGCTTCGTTCCATTTTTGCCAGCGTCTCAGCTAAAGGCTCCGTACAGTTGAATCTGCTTTTCTCGTCTGTGTTGTTTTGGTTTTTTTTTTTAATTCTCATTAGAAACTTCTCTGGAGCAAGGCAGATGACACTTCCTACATCAGCCACGTGACAGCCCGTTCATATTTGAGGGTGACCTGTATGCCATCCCCCCACTAGATCAAATTAGTCACTTGGTAATTAGCCAGTTGTCTTAATGATTCATTGAGCTAAAACCATTAGCTGCGGCTCTTGAGAGCAGGGAAAGGCAGGCATCTTGAGGGGTGTGCCTCACACATTCTGCGCCCGGCTCCTGGAGGCGTGGACCCTAGGGTGGGAGCAGCAAAGAAGGGACAGTCCTGAGTGGCTTTAGGATGACAAATCAAAGACTTTGGTGTCTCGTTGGATGTAAGGCTGCGGGAGTTAGGGAACGACACGAGCACAGCCGAAGAGTGAGCGTAACTTCTGAAACGAGGGGACTGATTGACTGAAAATGGCGGGGGCACCAGTAACGGGTGGAACTCTGTGCTGCTTGCTGCCTAAGGTTTCGGGTAAATGTGCCTGTTGGCTCTGGTCGTCTGTGTACTTTGCGGCTCAGCCCTGCCTCCTCAGAGCCAGCAGTCAGTCCTCAAGGAAGGTAACCACATTTCACAATCCCTTCCAATAAAAGTTGGGGAGCTGCACCCTACCATCTATATTTGAGTTGTTTGATGGCTTTTTGTTTTGGTGAAAGGTATTTTTAAAGTACTTTATCAGAACTGCTCAGCTCATAATCCCAAATGCCCTTCCCTTGCTCTTTGAATGCTGCCTAGTTCCTCTCAGCATCCTTCTCAGAGGGGGCTTTTCGACCTCCTCCTCGGCAGTTGCACTGTGCTGCGGCCACACACCCAGGCGCCCTCTTCGTCACCTCCCTCTTGTAACAGTAGTGCCAGGTGCCAAAGTGAACAGGTTGTCTCCAGCTGTTTTTGCCCAGAACCTCACTATTGAGTGACATTTCTGAAATGGATTCCTCTACCTGGAGTAAGTCGATAAACCAGAAAGATTTCTTCTGTTATTTTAAGTTTGGCAATATCTCAGCAAGACTGTGACTTCAGTTATATTTATGGCACATTTGAAACCAGAGGCAGCAGAGTCGGGGCGCGTGCTGCCTGTCACTGCTCAGCCCAAAGCAGAGACGATTGTAATTGGCACTTTTTTGATATCAGAGGCCAGCAGTTTGAGAAGGTAGCAGGTAAAAGCCCAAACATCTACCTCTCTTTGAGCTTCCAGAAGCAAGTTTATAGAGGGGAAATGCGGGGATTTAGGAAGGGGAATTTCTAGAGGGAGCACGGTTTCTCCTGGGAGTAGGAGGGGAGCTGAGAAGGGAGTCAGCAGCTTCTTCCGAGCGAGCGAGCGGGCGGGCGGGCGGGCGGGCTCTCGCTCTCCCTGCCCGCGTGCTCGCATTCATTCCTCTCTTCCCGACCCACAGTGTGTAGCTGGGGAAGCTATATAGTCTCTGGCTGTGGGAAGAGGTGGAGACCGTCTGCTCCCAGGTGTCCTTGGTTAGAGGAGATAAGGTCTTGCCACTTGCCAGCTGGCTATAATTTGTTCAAGCTGTTTGGCCTTGTTTACTTTCCTCGTCTCAGTTTCTCCATTGCACTTGCCCAGGAATTTTCCTAGCTTCTTAGTATCCTGTCTTACAGTGATGCCATTTTCCCAGGACATTGGTCATGGAAATCCTAAAATGGACGCAATGGAGGTGTTACCAAACCCAGGCAGTAGAGGGCATCCATTTTTTCCCCATTTATTTTTATTTAATCACTGGGAAGTGGTCCTGGTGTATACAATATTAATTCTGGCAAATTGGAACGCCTCTTCTCACTCCATTAAAAGTATCCTCATGAGGAAACTCAGCTGTTGTTGCAAAGAACCCACATTCTCTTCTGGACGGGCTCTGTGCCTAATTGAAAAGGCAGTATCTCCAAACTAAAAAAACGCTCGTAACCAAAAGCAGACCAGTTGTCTGATGGCGTTCATTCAATTCAACAAATCAATATTTAGCTTGTAAATGGAACAACATAGGGCCTGGTAGTAAATATGTCAGTAGGCTTTTGTTTAAGAAATTTGGTTTTTACAATATTTCCTTACTGATTTCTACAACACCTTTACCTTTAGAATAAAGGCTGTAGCGTTGCTAACATCAGAAAATTAAACGATTGTTAATTTTTAATTCTGTTTTCAAGTTTCTCTGAACCAAAGACAAGCCCAGTGTCCACACGCGGCGGACCCGGATCTGCTGGAGAGAGTGAGGACCCTGCGCCGGAGGCTCGCCGCCCGGGCTCGCGGCAGGTGCCAGACGCCGCCGCCTCTCGTGGCCACGTAGGTCACCGAGGGCGAGTCAAAGAGAGAGAAATACCTCTTTTGCGATCAGTGACACTGATTTTTAGATTATTTATTTTAAATTCCTGTAAAAATCAACCTTTTGTATAGAAAACTGTGTATGAAAATTATGTGTTCCATTAAATTCTTATGTTTTGGCTTGGAAGTGGCTTCTGGTACTTCTCACAATGAACAAAATTTTGCTTGTGTTAGGCTCGTTCAGGTTGTGAGAACCAGCCTAAACCTCCGTCACTTTAGTTGATGGGGTTAATTTTTAAGATAAAACAGGAAGAGCAGGAAACCATCTCAACAGCTATCCGGCCAGGACCAACAATGAAGTGACCTGGCAGTGACTAGCGCACCCACGGTGTCCCACGGTGTCCCACGGTGTGGAGTGGCTGAAACTGCAGCCCTCTGTGCCCCCACCCCTCCCCCGCCCCCAAAGCAGCATCTCCTCTTCGGAGCTCGGTGGGATCACGCTCGAACACCATGCTCCCAACATCAGCATGTGCCTACGTCTCCTGAGCACTGCTCCTCTCCGCTCTCCCGGCCTTAGCGCAGACCCAGTCTGCCCCGTCACCCTGGGCGGAGTAGTAGTTCTCTGAACTCATTTCCAAAAGGGGGGTGGAAGTCACACATGGCCTCGATAATGAGTATTAAATAAGATAATGGACATAAAGTACCTGGACAGTGCTTGACATAGAGCAGTGTGCAATACGTAGTAGGAATTCTTTTTTCTGGTGGTCACCAAATGCCATCTTTGGTAAACCAAATATTTTCAATAAGCGGACTGCTCTTTTTGTCCAGCAGTCAAAGTTCTGAGGTGTCACCAAGCAAGACATCGGTTTCCCAAGAGCACTTTCCTCAGCTTCACTTTTCGCTCGTGTTCAGGCAGTTCTGCCCATGCCTTCACAGGGCAGGCTGGTATGATTGGGGGCAGGAGGTCACCGGATGTAAAAATATGTAAGGTGTGATGGGAACTTCGGTCAGCTAGAACTTGCTCACCTAAAGGCATTCAAATTCTAACATGTAATTAATTCTCAGGGATGTAAAGAACAGCGTAAGGAAGATAGTTGATATTATAATAACTGTATGGTGCCAGGTGGGCACTAGACTTATTGGGGGGGATCACTTTGTAAAGTATATGATTGTCTAACCACTGTGCTGTACCCCTGAAACTAATAATAAATATCAACTATAACTGAAAGATAAAATACTGTGACTCTACCAGCCAGAAGCGGGTATATATTACCAGTTCAGGTCTTTTACTAGAGTTTATACCTTACTTGATTGGTTTTGGAACTATACACACATCTCTTTTAGTATTACAATACTTATATTTTTTAAGTTTCTGTTCATCCAATGAAGGTGAGTTATGCACACCCTCAACCAAATGAAGAGATTCTTTTGATTTTCATTTTCTCTGAGCCTACAGTTCTCCCAAAAATAATCTTGATAAAGTCACAGCCTTAGATTTCAGACACATGACTGGATCTCTGTTCCTATGTGCTTGGTTGGCATTTCAAAGGTTATCAGATTTCATGAAATACATTTCTGATGATCCCTTCCTGCTGCTTGACATTATAGCTTCAACCTTACCTCAGTTTCTTTACCATTTAAATGCTCTAGAAAGTTTGAGGTTGGCAAAAATTCTTCCCACATTGGCTCTAACAGCTTCTGTCAAGCACTCCCTTGAGTTTGTTAAAGCAGTTTCCTGAAGGTCTTTTCATATTAACATTCATAAGGTTTCTCTTTGCTGTGATTGCACAGTGTTGGATAAATTTGGGGCTTTAGCTAAATCCCTGTCCACAATGACTACACTTAAAAGAGTTTCTCTCCAGTATGAAGTGGTAACAATGACTTACAAGGACCACCAAAGGCTTTATGAGTATGGGTGCACTTATCAGATTCTGGACTTCCTGTTTAATTTCTTATCACTCTGGGTTCAACCAGGAGGCAAGACACATGATCATCTGAACAAGAAAATTTTACAGAATTATCAAACTATGACAGTGGAATCATTAAAGATGCAGTGAGAATTTGAAAGGGTGAGTAGGACTGAGGGAGGGTAAAGAAAAACTTGGAAGACAGGCTCCCTCCTTCCCCCAAGGCTCAGGCTCAGAGTTCATTGGAGCCGTGGTTGCAGACCGCTGGATAGCAGGGGGTTGCTGGGGGGCCCAGGCCAGAGCTGGCCCACAGTCCCCAGGTCTCAGAAAGTAAATCTCTGGGATGCGCAGGCCACCCAAGGCTGTTGGGTGAAAATCACATAGAGTCAGGGAGTCAGGACCCTGAGCGCTGTCGAATCGGAGTATACTGGCCAGCACAGGCCATGTCCAGAGAGCCACAGGGAACCACCTACTGGTGCACAGGCCAACCGAGAGTATCAGACAGCAGGCGCTCAGAGTGCATCGGGGCCCTGCTGCTGGCACTAGACCTGGAATATGCCACGCCCATGCTGGGGGTACTGCAGTAAAACGGTCAGTGGGCTGATACTGTGAAGTCACAGAGACTGCGAGCTCTGAGCACACGGCTAGGGCAGAGCACCCCTTGGCGGCCCCACTCACTCGCACCACTGATGAACCATGAAACAGGAGCAAGAATAAGCAAAACAGCACTTTGGAGCCGAGGCGTGCCTTCTCCCTACCTGTCCTCCAGCGCCCCCTACTGCCAGTGTAACATGGGGCACTCTAGGAGAAGGGCTTGAAGATCCGGTGGGTTACTGGGGAGCAGGTACTAAAGGGTGCATCGGAGTGGAGAGGCAGGAAGAAGACGGGCCCACTCGGGCAGAAGCTCTAGCAGTTTGCATGTCAGAAACGTGGTCTCGAGTTGGCCTCTATGTAATCAGACCGACGTGCCAGGATTTCCCTGGCACGATGATGTAGTTGAAGGTACCCCAAGGCTTAAGGAGGTAGGAATGTAGGAGCGGATTTATCCCACGTGAACTTCCCACTAACTCAGGGCTACGCACGCCCCCCGCGAAGGCCGAGAGTGGAGCGTGGGACAGCCGGGCGCTCCCTCGTGGCAGCCCCGCCGCAGCACGGGGTGGCGAGGGTGGGGTTCTCCCAAAGAGGCTCAGCTGCGTCCGAGCACGGGCCGCACGGGGTCGCGGGCGGCGATAACAAGAGTCTCGCCCCCTGTTAACGTCCCGCGCCCGCCTTCCGTTCGCTCCTCCGACCCGGGCCCAGAAAGCCGGGAGGCCGCGGAGCAGAGTCGGGGGTTTAAAACGCTCCCCGCTCAGGGTACTTCGGAAAGTACAGGTTGAGCCCAGCGTCAGCTGATACTCGAGTGTCCCCAAAGCGGAAAAGTGAGGACGCCTGGTGTCTCCTAGTCCCACAGAGGAGCAAACAAAATGCCCCTTCCCAACAAGGGTACAGACTAGAAGGTACAGTCTTTAGAGGAAGAAAAGTATTGTGCCCCGTGTGAGGATCGAACTCACGACCTTCAGATTATGAGACTGACGCGCTACCTACTGCGCTAACGAGGCACCTACGAGCTGCTTTCCTCTGTACTGTAATGAGGCTGTCTGACCAGTCTTGTGCGCATGCTCAGAAAAGTAGGTTTGGTTGTTGGGGGTTTTTTTACTGAGTCTTAGGGCAAGATTCAGAGTTACCCGCCTCAGCGTCGGCATAGGAGGGTGCCCTGGCGGAACCGCCCACCCGCGCTCGGGTCTTCCCCTCCTGCGGGTCTGTTCATCAGTCGAGAAACACTGAGGCTTGCTAGACAGCGCTGCGGGGGTAGAAACGGAAAGGAGGCATGCCTCATGTGTTGGTAGACTTTGGTTTTTTAAATATATATAGTGCCTGCAAAGGGTTTGAGCACTTGTGATCTCGGGAAAGACTTATTGACACCTGCTGTGTTCCGGACCCCGTGCAAACACGCCCAGTCTCAAACTGTTGGAGGGGTTGCGCAGAGGTACAGTGATTTGAAAATTTAATCACGCACACTGTTTCGGCCCCACTGCAGACCCCGCCCCAGACGGGTCCCGAGAGGCGACCGAAGCTGCGGAAACGACCCCTGAGACACAGCCCCAGCATCGTAGAAGCGCCACCCCCATCGTCGCCACCCATCCCCACCCCTTCCTCCAGCCCGCCGCCCAGCTTATTTAAATACACTCAGTTGAAAGAAGCTTGAGGCACACTCAAACGGAGCGTTTTCTCCCTAACACATGATAAAATGAACACATAATTACTAAATAAAAATACTCCTACCATCTAAAATCAGCCAGACTGAGGCACGCTTAGGATTTGTATATTTCGCTGTATGTAAATTTTACCTTTAAAGCAGTAAATTTAAAATGGCAGGCTTATAGAAGGGCTTTGGGGAGTGTATTGCTGTCCACACTTTTGAAGTGCCTCCAAAGATAACACGGTTTAATGGACCAACGGACGTAAGGACAGAGACTGCCAGTAGTAAGATGTCCAGGTGGATTTAGGTGATAGATGTATGGATATTCGTGATGTGACTTTCACCTGCTGTTTATCAGAAATTTTTATTATAAAGAGGAATCGCTAAAACCACCCAGAATCTGGGAGATAAGGTGGGATGTTATTGGCAATGAGTGTAAGGATGTAGAGAAAATGGCATTTTAAGAAGCAACTAGAACTCCTGGGAGTACAGGAACACATAAAGAGATGGGGGCAACTGTGGAGTGGGAGGTCTGTGAGATACAGGGCAGGTAAGCCTACCTGACCCCCTGCCCCAGGTAGCTAGAGGGGTGGGCTCCTTAGAGCACCCTAATGTCTCCTTAGAAGTAGTCCTGGATTTGGGCAGGTTGTACTGACCCCAAACCTTGAGAATGGAGTGGAACTTGCCACCGTTGCTCGCTGTCCCCACTGGGAACCCCACACCTCCCAACCCTGGAGAAAGCTCTCCCCACCCATGCTCCCTGGCAGGACAACCCCACTAAGAGGGGTTCTTGGGGTAAGGCTACTAGGAACCTGAGACCTTGCAGGCACAGGAGTGCAGAGGGCCAGGCAGAGGACCCAGAGGGAATCCACAGGCCCACACTCGTAGAAATCCTTGCAGGGCCTACTGAAAACTTGGGTGATCAGGGCAGTTTCACCCAGATCTTCAGGCCCCAGGAATGCTGATTGATGTGTGAATTAATTCCCTGTCCCCATCTCCCATAATTACAAACTCATGAACCCAGAAGTCCCACTGGGTCTGGGAGGCTGTCCAACAGGCACTCACCCATGGCCAGTTACTCCCTGAAACTGTGTCAGAACTGGAAATTAGAAACGGCTCAGTGTCCATAAACAGGGAACTGGCCACAAGAACACCTTCCCAAGAGTGGCCTCTCTAAACCTGATACCAGTGAATGAGGAAAGGTGTGTGTGTGGGGGATGCATATTCACATTTGCTAGTATTTGCACACAATCTCTGAAAGGATGCACAAGAACCAAAGGCCAACCATTAATGTGTGGTGGGGGAGTGGGAACAGCACACTTGGAGACAGGATGAAGACTTTTAAAATAAACTTTATTACTTTAACAGACTAACAGAGAAACTGCAAAGTAGAATTCCCATAAAGCCCACCCGCAGGCTCCCTTATCAACATCTTGGTGAGTGTGGTACCTTTGTGACGATGAACCAGCTTTGACAGGTCACTGACTTAAGTCCATCCTCAGATTTTCCTTATTTTCCCCAAATGCCCTTTGTGTGCTCTAGGGCCACATCACACGGAGTGGTCACATCTCCCTGGGCTCCCTCTGCTGTGACACTCAGGCTTTCCTTGTTTGGATGACCTTGACAATTTTTAAGGACACATCAGGGATTTTATAGAATGTTGCTCAATTTGGGAATTTGTTATTTTTCTGGGATGAAGACTTTCCACTATATACCTTTAAACAGCCAAAAAAATAGCTGAGTTATGTTCTATTTCCTACTCAAAAATTTAAGTAATTTAAAAACTATTCTGCAGGAACTAGGAAGAAAAAGGAGAGGAGAGAGGGGGAAGGGAAAGGAAGAAAGAGGGAGGAGGGGGAGGGTTCAGTAAGGGACAGCCCAGCCTGGGCTCCCACTCTGGCCAGTGACACCCAGCTCCCAGTCCTGGCCTTGCCCGGCAGCCGAGAGACCCAGTGTGGAGGGGTCTCAGCCATCCCCCAGTGGCTTTGGTTTGTCCCTGCACTGGAAGCAGGGAAAACAGAGGCAGAGTCCTTTTGGTACTAGGGAATCCTTGGACCCCCAAGTCCTGGGACACATGCCAGGGAGAAAAAGGGGGTGACCACTTGGTTGGAGTCTAGACACTGCGTCCCCAAAACTGCCTGTGGGGTACTCAGCTGGGTCCCCACATAGGGGTGACCACCATCATCCCCCAGCCCATTTGTGGAAGGTAAACCACATGAGCTGAAGGGTGGTGCACATATTCTGCTAATACTTGTGCCACCTGTTTGCAAAGACTTTTTTTTTTTATCACATTGGCACGATGAGACACACGTGTGCTTCTTCACTGCTCTGCAGTCTGGGCTGGTGCCCTCAATTGAGTCCAGAGTAACAGGAAGTCAGTGCTACATGGCCACGAGGTGGGCAGGTTCCGGGGCTCCTGCAGGCTATGGCCCGGCCCCTACACCTGGCCAGCAGTGAATGTCTGGTGGCCCAAGACCAGTGAGGGTAAGGTAGACCCCCAGAAAAAGCACTTCCCACTCCAGGTCTTTGCAAGGATTGTTCTCGATACCCGACAGTGCTTTTCCACCATCAGGATTCTTTTTTAAGTGCTTTATACATTTTTCTTTTAAAATTTACAGTCAACTTTACCTTCTTTGCTATACAGTTCTATGAGTTTTGACAGTACAAACCACCCAGCTGTGGCCCGCTCCTGCATCCACTGCCCACCCAGGCCTGGCCTGGACAGCTTCCTGGTGGGCTCTACTACAAGGTCAGGTGCTGCTAAGCTTGGGGATCAGGAACCCACTCACCCTGACTCCCTCCAAATGGAGCAGGCCCAGGTGCAATGGGGGCAGCAATGTAGAAGCCCCTGCTGGCAGAGATGGGGGAGGGAGGCCTGTGGTGGGGGCACTCTGATCTGGGGCAGCAATGGGGTGAAGAGGAGGCTCCGCAGTTAGTTGGTTCTGGGGCCCAAAGGCAGGTCCAGGGAGGGACAGGTCCAGGTTTGTGCAGCTGCTCCAGGAGGGTCTTAGGCAGTGCCTGAGCACATTCTGCAAGGTCCTGGCCTGGTCCTCCAGAATGGGCCCCAGCACGGGGCAGGGTGCCGTCTACGCCCCCATCCCGCTCTGCTGCTCCAGCTTCTGCTGCTGAACCTGCTTGTAGTTGATGATGGCCTGACGAAGACCAGTGACAAAGGCCTTCTGGTCGTTGGGGATGACACCCACAAAGATCCTCTTCTTGGATGAATACTGGAGCATAAGCACTCGCACTTCACAGGGGGCCGTGCGGGGGAAGTGCACACAGCCCACAAAACCATTGCGCAAGACACGGTAGAGGTCTCGGTGGCACTCCAGGTCCTTCTCGGTGAAATGGAACTGGACCATCCTTGAGTTGCGGAACACAGGGCCCAGTGTAGCCAGCAGTTGCTGCGGAAACAGATGCATGTATAGCTTCTGGGGCCACAGCTCTGTTTTCAAGTTCTCACTGTGCTTCACGAAAACCTGGCAAGGCAATGACCGCATCACCCTGGAGCTGGGGTCCACATAGCCAGGTTTGGGCTTCTTGTGCCACTCAAGGACCCCATTCCAGACCATGGGTTTGTTCGAGGCCAATTGCTGCCCACCGAGGGCCAAGACCCCTAACTGGCCCGGGGAAGGGCCACTCACCCCTTCTTGAGCCATTGTGTCTTCTGAGGGCGGAGCCCCAGACTGCACAGTTGGCACCAGGCCCTGACCAGGGGACACTGTGTTCTGAGTCTTTTTCATTGCTTCCATGTCCTTTTTTATGCTATTGAAATTCTCTCTGAGTTCATCTACTCTCCCCCTCAGTTCATTGAGCATACTTATAACCAGTGTTTTGAACTCTGCATCTAGTAAATTTCTTGTCTCCATTTTGTTGAGTTCTTTTTCCAGAGCTTTGTTCTCTTCTTTTCTTTCACTCATGTTTGTTTCCTCAAGTTGGCAGCTGCCCTGTGTTTGGTTCCAAGTATCAGGTAGAGCTGCTTGTCTCCTGGGCTTGGGAGAGTGGCCTAAGGCAGCAGGTGTCCTGCAGGCTCCAGTGGCTCAGCCTCCCCAGTCACCCAAGCTGGGCACTCCAGGTGCACACTCTCCTGTTGCAGTGGAGCCTTGCTTGCTGGTGGCACGTGAAAGGGGGGAGTTTACACCCAGGCCAGTTGGCTGCAAGGACTGCCTGCCACCACCAAATAAGACCAGCTGTGCAGGGGCCCCACTGACAGAGTAGGACCTCCTTCAGCAGGGCTCTGCTGCCCACTCAGTTCACCCCTTGAGCATGTCCCCCGTGGAGGAGGTTAAGGTGTGCTTTGACGTGATCTGAAGCTGTCCACTGGGTGCACTGGCTCTGGGGCCTCCTGGGAGATGCAGGCCAAAGTCAACGGCTACCTGTGTTCTTCCTAAGTGCACCGGACTAGAGCTGCAAAGCAATGTGCAGATGGCTGGTATTTGGGCTGGGCTGGGCTGGGAGGTACCCAGGAGAGGCCGAGCTGCAAACCACAGCTAGCTGCAGCTAGTGCTGGGCCTGGGGCCAAGTAGCAAGAGGAACGAGGCACGCTGCGGCCAGCTGCTGCTCCTTTGAGAGATTTTAGCAAAGTCTTTAGTGAAGAGAGACCATTCTTATGGCAAAGCCACAGCAAACGGTTTGGGTAGGCCAGAAATTGGGTGGGGCGGAGAATCAGATATGGCGCCCGCCAGCCAGCTCTGTGGAGGAAGGGCTCATCAAAGAACAATGGCGTCCGCCAGCACTTTTGTCTGAGAGAGAGCTTCCCGGCCCCAGCTCTCGTCCTGACGCCAGATAATTCAGTTCCTTCTCACTTGTCCCTGGCGCCCTTTGAGCTGCTCTCCCGGCGCTGGAACTCAGAGCTAGCGAGTCCGATTAAGTCCGAGCGCCGGCCCTTTAAGGGGCACAGCCCGCGATTCCGGCAGCGTTTCAGTCCCCCTCAGCCTCCAAGTCCCGCTGGTTTTTGCAGCCGGAAGTTATGGGGACTTCTCTTCCAGACACTGGAACCCTGGGCTGGGGGCCTGGTGCGGGGCTGCGACCCCTCACTCCTCTGGGAAGACCTCTGCAGCCGAGCTATCCTCCCCGATTCTGACCCACCACACGTGGGTGGGGGACCAGCGGCTCCTGGTCTCTGCCCCACCTACCAGTCTCGGCGTGGACTCTTCTTTAAACCTCTAGTAGCAGGATTTCCACTCCACTAGATTTCAGGCGGTCGAAGCGCCGTCCTTCTGCAGCTTCAGTGCAATTCTGATAACCTGGCAAGAGCCAGGCTCTTGTTTTATGTCCGAGACGCCTGCCTTCCTCAGCCGGGTCAAAGGTTCCCTCCTCCCCGCAGCCTGATAGGTGTTCCCTCCGCGCTTGCTCCTCCCCCTGCTCCGGGGAGGGGACGGATGAAGGCACTCCCTCTTCCGGGCTCCTGTATTCTCGGGACCACCTGAAGGGGTCAGTATGACGATGGCCCGTCGCTTGCACCCGCGCAAACGCAGTGACAAGAGAGGTGCTGCCCGAGTTCCAACCGATGGAAACGGGAGACAGGATTCCGTCCCACCGCGCTGGCCCCTCATCCCCGGCCGCAGGTCCCAAAAGTGTTTCCTCACTTTGACACCCCTTAAAATAATTTTGAAAAGTATCTACACACTTCCTTGCATCATGTTCAGTTGATATCTCAACTTTCTTATAAATGTAAACAGTTACAAAGGATGTGATTTTCAATATATTGCATATGCTAATTAAAAACTAAGTAAAACTGCTTACATGATCTTTAACATGCATCCAATGAAATGGAAATATCCCATGCATTCCATACAAGCCATAACCTATTTGAAATATACATGAGTTAGCTCCTCTCGATCACTTATTAAGTTTATATTAATTCCCCCAAACTCACATTTCTAGTCTACCTCCCCCCACAGGATTTTATTCTCATACACTTAGACTCATCAGGGCCACAGTTATCCCCTGAAGTCGTGCTAGAACTCCAAGTAACTAGAAGCAGCTGCTGTCCATAAGCAGGGACCTGGCCACAAGAATGTTGTTTTTCCAGGTATAAACAAGAACAGTGGACTCTCTGAGCCTGATACCAATGAGTGAGGAAAGCAGGACAGAGATGGTAAGGGAGGGTACCCCCGTAAAAGGGGGTCAGGGCAGGTATTCACATTTGCTAGTATTTGCACACTAATCCCCTGAAAGGATACATGGGAACCTAAGGTCGATGAGGCAACAATGAATATGTGTGAGGGAGTGGGAACCACACACTTGAACACAGAAGGATGAAGACTTTTTAAAAATAAACTTGATTATTTTAACAATCATAGATTTACAGAGAAATTGCAGATAGAGTTTCCAGAAAGCCCACCCCCCAGTTTTCTGTATTACTATCATCTTACGTGAGTGTGGTACTTTTGTTACAACTAATGAACCAGCTTTGACAGGTCATTGACTGAAGTCCATCCTGATTCTGATTTTATTTCCCCCAAATGCCCTTTGTGTGCTCCAGGATCCACGTCACATGGACTGGTCACGTCTCCCTGGGCTCCCTCCACTGTGATACTTTCTAAGGCTTTCCTTGTTTGGATGACCTTGATAGTTTGTAAGACACACATCAGGTATTTTATAGAATATTGCTCAATTTGGGAATTTGATATTTCTCTGGGATGAAGACTATTCATGGTATAGTTTGAATAGTTGAAAAAATAGCTGAATTATGTTCATCTATTTCCTACTCAAAAACTTAAGTAATTTAAAAGAGCTGAGGGAACTAGGAAGAAGAAAACAGAGAGGAAAGAGGGAGGAGGGGAAGGAAAGAGAGAGGGAGGAGAGGCTTTGGTGTGGGCTGGCCCAGCCTGGGCTCCCACTCTGGCCAGTGATCCAGCTCCCAGAGCTGGGCTTGCCTGGCAGCCCGAGGGACCCTCGTGGAGGGATCTCCATCACCCCCTAGCCAGCTCTGGTTTGTCCCTGGGCTGGATGTGGGGAGAACAAGAGACTGGAGAGTCCTTTTGATACCGGGGTTCCTTGGACTAGAAGCCCTGGGAAAGGTGCCAGGGAGGAGGAGGAGGGGGCGATCTGCTCCATTTGAATGGAGTCAGGATGAGTAGGTTCCAGACACAAGCTCAATAGTGTCTGACCTTACAGTGGAGCCCAAGGGGGAAGCTGTGCAGGCCAGGGCTGGGTGGGTGGGAGGAGCAGAAGGGGGATAAGGTGCAGAGGGCTATGCCAGGCCCTGGTGCAGTGGTGGCAGTCATGCAGGGCCTTCTGGTGGCTGGAGGTGGGGGAGGGAGGCCTGAGGTGAGGGCACCCTGGTTTAGGGCAGCCATGAGTTGAAAAGGAGGCTCTGCACTTGGGTTTGGCCCCAGGGTTCTGGGACTAAAGGATAGGTCCAGGAGTGGGCGTGCTGAAAGCTGCTCCAGGAGGGCCTTGGGCAGTGCCTGTGGGGGTCGAGGGCTGGGCAGCAACCTGGGGCTGTGGCTGGTCTGAGGCTGCGGAGGTTCCCACAGTGCCCTGAGGTTCAGGCTGCTGCAGTCACAGCTGCAGCAGATTCTGTGAGGGCCTGGCTCGTCCTCCTGAATGTGCCCCAGCCCATCGGGTGCCTGCCATGCCTGCAGTGCCTGCATCTGGGGCTGCTGCTCCAGCTTCTGCTGCTGAACCTGCTTGTGGTTCAGGAGGACCTGCCAGAAACTGCCAGCCAAGCTGCTCTGGCAGGACCCTCATCCCCTGAGGCCCACGACGATCTTTTTGTACAAGTACAGGAGCACAAGTAGACACACTTTGGGGGGGGGGCAGCAGGGAGGACATGTGGGGTAAGTACACACTGCCCAGGAAGCCCTGGCCGATGAGGTGGTAGAAGTGTTTGAGCATCTCCAGGCCCCTGTGGGTGAAATGGAACTGGACCTTCCTTGAGTTCCAGAGCACAGGGCCCAGTGTGGGCAGCAGCTGCTTGGGGATGAGATTCGTGATCAGCCCCCAGGCCTCTGCTGTTTTCTGGTTCCCTCCATGTTCCACGTAGACCCGGCAAGGCAGTCAATGGGCCCTGGTGTTGAGGTGCACAGAGGTGGGTTTGAACTTCCTCTGCAAAGTGTAGACCTGCAACATCAGAACCCACTCCAGCCAGGAGTTTGTTGGAGACTGACTGCTGCCCACTGAGGGCCAAGACCCCTACCTGGGCTGGGGGAGGGCCACTCACCCCGACTTGGGCCGCCTTGCCTTCCATGAGTGGAGCCCCATGCTGCGCAGTGGGCACCAGGCCCTGACCAGGGGCCACTGTGGACTGGGTCTTTTTAATGGTTTCCAAGTCCTTTTCTATGCTGTTGAAGTTCTCTCTGAGTTCATCTACTCTCCCCCTCAGTTCATTGAGCATACTTATAACCAGTGTTTTGAACTCTGCATCTAGTAAATTTCTTGTCTCCATTTTGTTGAGTTCTTTTTCCAGAGCTTTGTTCTCTTCTTTCCTTTCACTCATGTTTCTTTGTTTCCTCAAGTTGGCAGCCGCCCTGTGTTTGGTTCCAAGTATCAGGTAGGGCTGCTTGTCTCCTGGGCTTGGGAGAGTGGCCTAAGGCAGTAGGTGTCCTGCAGGCTCCAGTAGCTCAGCCTCCCCAGTCACCCAAGCTGGGCACTCCAGGTGCACACTCTCCTGTTGCAGTGGAGCCTTGCTTGCTGGTGGCACGTGAAAGGGGGGAGTTTACACCCAGGCCAGTTGGCTGCAAGGACTGCCTGCCACCACCCAATAAGACCAGCTGTGCAGGGGCCCCACTGACAGAGTAGGACTTACTTCAGCAGGGCTCTGCTGCCCACTCAGTTCACCCCTTGAGCATGTCCCCCGTGGAGGAGGTTAAGGTGTGCTTTGACGTGATCTGAAGCTGTCCACTGGGTGTACTGGCTCTGGGGCCTCCTGGGAGATGCAGGCCAAAGTCAACGGCTACCTGTGTTCTTCCTAAGTGCACCGGACTAGAGCTGCAAAGCAATGTGCAGATGGCTGGTATTTGGGCTGGGCTGGGCTGGGAGGTACCCAGGAGAGGCCAAGCTGTAAACCACAGCTGGCTGCAGCTAGTGCTGGGCCTGGGGCCACGTAGCAAGAGGAATGAGGCACGCTGCGGCCAGCTGCTGCTCCTTTGAGAGATTTTAGCAAAGTCTGAAGTGGCCAAGACAGGCCACTCTTATGGAAAAGCCACTGGGAACAGCTTCAGTAGACATGACTCTGGGTGGGGCAGAGACTCAAGTATGGGAAGAACCTGGTGGCTTTTTGAAGGAAACACTTACCAAAGGAACAATGGCCTCTGCCAGGTCCTGATGCCAGATAACTCAGTTCCTCCCCATATGTCCTGGCACCCTTGGAGCTGCTGCTCTCTCAGTGCTGGAACTCAGAGTACGTGAGTCATATTAAGTCCGAGCGTCAGCCCTTGAAGAGCAACTGCCTGGGACTCCAAGAGTCTTCTGTCTCCCTCAGCCTCGAGTTCCTCCAGTTTTACATCTCGAAGTTACAGGGACTTCCCTTCCCAACACTGGAGCCTTGAGTTGTGGGCCTGGTGTGGGTCTGGGACCCCTTGCTCCTTTGGTGGATCTCCGCAGCCAAGATAGCCCATTTTTATCTGTCACTTGTGGGTGTGGGAACCTCCAGTTCCTTGTCTCCTCCCCACCTACCAGTCTCAATGTGGCTTCTTCTTTAAATCTCTGAGTGGATTCCATTCAGCTAGTTCTCATGCAGTTCTGAAAGATGGTTGTTCTGTAGCTTCGGTGTAATTTTGATAGGGTTGAGGGAGCTGGGCTTCCGTTTTGGGACGGGGATCACTTCTTTGCCTTCCTCAGCCAGGTCAAATGTCCCCTTCTCTGCCAACCTAACAGCTATTTCTTCCCTCAATTTCTCCCCCACTCCTTACCTGGGGGAAGTAGGCACTTTTTCCTCTGGGCTCATTTACTCTCAAAAAAACCCAAAATCATCACTGTAGGATTGTGCGGGACATGGCTCTCCCACCACTGGTGATGGAAGGCTTGGCCAGAGAGCCCCTGGCCAGAAGGGATGTGTTGTTTTGGAAGTAGATTATGAACTCCCTCCTTATCCCTTTTTGGGGGTGGCTTCCAGTCCTGTTACTGCTTCTTGCACTTCTCTTTCTGCACGAACACACTGAGATAACACAGTTTAGAGTCACGTGTAGGATTCGTGCCTGCTTTATCTGAGACTCAGAGGTGTGGCCACCATCAGTGCTCCCTGTAATGTGAGTAACGAAGGCTGTGCCTGCCCCATCCAGTCCTCCTTGTGGTTTTTTTGGCTTTATTGGAATAGGCAGTCAAGATCTCAGGGCTCAGCCTCCTGCATAGCAGTCACTA